ACAACTATTCACACACAACTTATCATCATACAACTTACTCACACAGAACTTCTCCACATACACGCACACACAACTTGTCCTCACACAACTTAACATCGACGCTCACTTTGCCCACAACTTATCATCACACAAATTACTCACACATAACTTAACATCATATAGTTTGCTCACACACATACAACTTGCTCATACAGAACTTCTCCATATTCACATGCACGCACCTTATCCTCACACAACTTAACATCGACGCTCACTTTGCGTGGACAGGCGTGACACGTATGGCATTAGGCTGGCTCTAGTTGCGCGCTTGGTTTTAGTGTGACGCCGTAGTACTGCGGCGTTTTGCGTGGCAGGCGTAACACTTGCCGATATCCACCGTCATTTTACGTGGCAAGCATGGCACTTAATAACACCCACCGTCACTTTGCGTGGCAGACGTAGCACGCATGGCATTGGGCTAGCTCTGGCAACGCGCTTGGTTTTAGGTGTAACGCCGTGGCGCCGCGGTGTTTTGCGTAGCGGGCGTGGCTCTTAGCGATATCCATCGTCATTTTACGTGGCAGGTATAGCACTTCGTAACGTTCACCGTCACTTTATGTAGTATAAGCGTAGTACCTCGTAACATCTACCCTTCACTTTGCGTATCAGGCATAGCACTTCGTAACAACGTATTCATACTTACTTCCACGCACAACTTGCTCCACACCAATCCTTCACCGTCCTTTTCTTTTTCCTTCTTTCCCCACGATTAAACCTCATTTCGTGCGAAAGGGTTGCCGCAAATACTTCAAAATCGTAATTTAACCGTAATTTTTAACGATTAAATGTCATTTCGCAGGAAAAAATTACCGCGAATACTTCCAAATTCTAAAATTTAGCTCAATTTTTAATAATCAAACCTCATTAAAAAAAAAGGAAAAACATAATAATAGAAGGCAAAAGGGCAAGAAAGAAGGCAAGTAAGACGGCAAGAAAGAGAGAGAGAAAATATGAAGATATGAAGAAGATGTGGGAAGATGTGAAGATATGCAGATATGAAGATGTAAAGATGAGAAGAAGATGTGAAGATGTGTAGAAATGAGGGAGGATTGGATATGTAGATGTGAAGATGAGAAGATGTAAAGATGAGACGATAAGAAAATAAGCGGATTTGAAGAAACGAAAAAGTATAGCAGACCTCCACTATTAGAAGAACCCTTCGCTCAGACGCTCTCGCGAATAAAAACCCAAGCAAGCTACTATGCAGCAGAAAAACAAGTGTACAAAGAATGAAAAAATGGCTTAAAATACGTGCAAAGCCTAAATTCAAAAGTTTTTTTCGACAAAAGGACATCATTCTATATCAGTTTCGGAAAACAACCAATATCGTACGACGGACAATATCTAAACAATTCTTCTTAAACAGAAAATTTTTCACTTTCAAAGGTATTTTTCAAAATATATTCAAACTATTGGTGCCTGTGACAAACAATCCATGCGGGATTGACATGTGGGCAATAACATACTAACTGCCTGGAAGCTGCAGGCCGAAAAAATCTAATTCAAAATCATTAAACAAGCGCCCAAAATAATGCACGTATCTCATGAATGGACAAGCTGCATTGCCATGGCCTTCTGGTCTAGCTCATTCAAAGCCGCTTCTGCCAAAGCCACACGCTTCTTGACGGCCTACGCTTGTTCAGCAGCCAATTTGCAATGATTTGGATTGATTGGGGCAAGGCGATGTCGCAAATCTTAACGTTTGGAACTTAAACAGCACACAAGAAAGCCGCAGGGCGGATCAAGGTCGCCAGACCTCAACCTCAGATCCGAAATCGCGGACTACAGCGGTCAGGACCGCTATGAGGTCTGTGTAGACGATTGATTTCCTCTCTGCTCATCTGCAAGCGAACAAAAAAAATGGATGAATGCACCTACAGCACATGCAGCAACAAAGGAAACCATCACCAACTCATCTGGGAAATATTTGATTTCCAAAAGGGTCGCTGTGAGTTGGGGTATCAGCTTTCCAGTCACCGCAAACTGCATATCTGTGCAAATAGTGTGGCGTCCTCGGCCCTTCTGCACCATCTACTTCATGGACCACTGCTGGCAGAACCTAGCCGGCACAAGAGTGCCAACCAAACTCACTTGCCACCCCCACCTCACGTACGGTCTCCTACGTCTACCTATCCTGAGTCTGAAGGTTGAAAGGCGAAAGCAAATTCTTGAGCGACAGCAGTAATTGTGGAACACAGCGCCACAAACTAACAAGCTTTACTTTTGGTGTTGTCAGCAAGCCACAATCCGGCTTCCAGGTTCGAATCTGCATGAACATAACTGCTCATCCGGGATGTGCAAACGGTCGCGCTAGCTTCAACTTACTTTTTGCACTGATCTTGTGATTTTGCTCCACGTACTGTAGCAAAACAAGGGCATCAAGGATCAACGGCGCACTTTTGTAGAATGGCAGAGCTACTTAACTTGGGGTCCTCTTCAGGTCCTGCAACCAAAAGATTCAGCACCTACACTAAAACATGTGCCTGCTCAACCTCGTCTGCAATGAAACCGAAGCGGGTATGCTTGGCATCCGCTCCTGCCAGCTGCAGAGCAAGCAAGCTCAGAACTTAAAATAGGCCGCTTTGCTTGCGATTGTCGTGGTTTCAGAGAAGGAACCAGCCATCCATGACCAGAGCCAATCAATCAAAGATAAATCCTGTGGCAAGCCCCTGGCCCGTCCTCGCACAAATCGATAGGACACAGGGCGGAGCTGACGCAACACCCATCGTAGCGGGGACATCTCTGAGTCTAGCCCCTACCGACACAGCGTGGTGGCGGGGGGCAATGAAAGCAACACCACTATATTTTTTTTGGGTCCCAATGGCCACATGCTTGGAAAAGACTTGCTTACAAAAGATTGAATATCCAAAAACGCGCAGGAGTCTGCATGCACCCCAATGCTTGCACGACTATGGGGATTGCAAAGCCAAACCATGGAAGCCTCAGGGTTGTCTTGCGAATCTCAATCCCCTACATTGCACCAAATTGCCACGTGACCTTTGCCCCTCAGCCCATGTGCTTTTTTCACTGGGCGTCTCGTGCGTCTACCGCTTGCTTGGCTTTCTGCCGTAACGATGCAAAGGCACGGCTCGCACGATCTGCGCCCCCTGACAACAGGCCGCGGAGACGGTCCTGACAGCCGAAGTATTGAGCACTGGCGAAAAGAAATCAAATTTGGTCTGGTAGAAGACCTGTAATCTGCACCGACAAGCCGAACTCCGTTTTCTACAGGAAATAAGCAAAGATCTATTTTGGACCTAAACTGCGCTTTGTTTCCATACTGGAGAGCCACTGAATAGCCAGGTGGGGGAAGAATGAAAACAACTGGTTTCAGGCGTCGCCTTGAAATCTTGAACAGGTTGAGCACATGAAAGGATAGAAAGCAACACCTTTCTCAGCTTGATTGAAGCAAACTCGGCTTGCCACTTTTAGACCTGTCAAAAAAACCGTTTGGTCCTGCGGCCCAAGCTCCACAGCCTTCGAGCAGAGCTTCACGCCTCGTTTCTCTGCTTCCCGATGCAGCACACCAGCACCGCCCAGGATCACCGAGACGCGTGGCATAGAGAGCTGCTCAGTAAGCAGTTCGAAGAGTGCTGCTACCACACCGCCTGAAAGACGGATGCCGTACAAGTGTTCCATTGCTGAGACGCGGCTGTGCCAAAGCTGCCCCACTCACACTTTCCAAAATTAAAAATTGCGCGATGAGACAACTAGTAAATAGGACGCAACAAAAAGAAGGACACGGATGTCTCCAGAAAGTTAGTTACGCACCCTCTAGAAGGCCGTGGCTATACCAATGCAGGGTCTTGCTTCAGAAATTGCAAAAGCAAAAGGAGACTGCATAGCTGTACTGGGAATGATGGCTGGGCTCCATGCCAGCATGCTTTGAACGTTTGCCATGCTGCCTGCGTCGGTTTTGCAAAGCTGGGCAGAATCCCAATCATCCTCACCGCCGAGGATGGCCAAATGTGCCCTCTCGGATTCGGAGAGCCAACCTGACTTGAAGAGCACATGACCAGCAGTGTGCCGTTTACAGGGTTCTTGCAATCGGGTCATAGCTTCAAGGATTGCTACCAGGGCTATGGGCACAAAAAAATTGGCCCGAATGCAGAAATTGGAGCAACTTCATCTAGGGTGCTCTGAGACGCATGGACGATGCGTCGTTCGAAAACCTTTCGGTCTGTAAAATCTTGAAAAATTTGAAGGAGGTTTGCAAAACCTACACCCTGCTGTCTTCTTGATGGCAGCCCTGCTGTCTTCTTGATGACAGCTCTGCAACTGGCAAGGGATGAGATGTGTGGCGAAAAGCAGTCAAACATGCACCCAACGAACTCATTGACTAGACAAAGAAAATTGCAGAAATGATGAGCTTGAAATCAGATCCACGCACCCAAGGATGGGAAGGTGAACGCCTCACTTAAGCCACCGGCCTCACTTACACCAGCTCACTACGCCACCGCAGGGGCTCACCTACTATGCCACCCAATAGGCTTACTTGCGCCATCAGACAAATGCGCTTGAATATGCGGATGTTAGGGTGGGGTAGGGTGGCAAGAGCATTCAGGATCACCACACGCAAATGCGCTGCACGCTGGCGTAACCTCTGCATGTTCAGCAGCCCGTGCCACCCCATACCACACATGACGAACGCGCGCTGCATTTCTCCTGTGCAGCCGACCTAGAGCGTAACATGCAGTACCAACTCTGCAGCATAGCATCAAGTGGATATGCAAAAGACTTCAACTGTAACAGAATAGGACCTAAACCGGAGTCAGAAGCGAGGCAAAAAGTGGGCGCACAAGCGAGGCGCCGACTGGATGGGAAGCCCTCAGGATCGCTGCGAAATTGACTTGTACCTCATCCTGCAATGAACCTTTTCGCATTGGGCACGATTCAATTCCTAAAGCATCGCGTTCCAAAACTACCAGACATGGGACACTACCAGACAATGCTCTTTCTGGCCAGACCATGGCACCTTCGCCCCAGGCCGCCGACGCCGCCGCTTGCAGTGCTTGGAAAACCTCAGTGCCCAGCACCGTGGCGTCTGCAGCGCCAGCGCCCGCAGCGCCCGCAACGCCAAGGACCGGTGCGGAATCCTTGCGGAGAACGAGGTCGCCCACGTCGACCATGGCGCGCTTCCTGCAAATCAAACGGATAGAACAAAATTGAACAAATATGAACAATGAGACCGACCGTCCAAAGAAGGTTTTTAGATGATCTGGGTTTGGGGATGCCGGGGAAGAAAGGTGGATTAACAGACCTATACATGGACCTTCAAGGAATTGGCAAAACCCTTGTGGCAACTGCACACGAAGTCAACAGCCAAACTCCCTACTTTTCCAAGGGCGCAGCCATTGGTCCATTTGAGCCCTCCCTCTGGTCGGGCACGGTTCTGTGTTCCAAGGTTCATGCGTTTGCATGCTGTGCTGTTTCCACATCTATGATTCATCCATGTTTCTGGCAGAAACTTCACATCGGTAAAGAAGGGGAAAGTTGTTCTTCACCTTCTCCGCATCTCTGACAAAATGTCAGTGCTGGTGGGGCTTTTCTCGCAATTGCTGGGCAGTCTGGTCGATTGTGCCATCGTTCACCATGTTGGGTGATCCAAACCATCATAGTGCGCGTCGTCGGCGTGACGCATGGTCATGGAGTCAATGTGACTCACATAGTCCGCCAAATTGGCGTGGACCTCGTTCTTATATTTTTCGACCTGTTCCTCCAAAGCACCAATGTAGCTTCCCAGCTGCATCTGCTCATCATATGAAATTGTTGCGATGTTGGTCGCTGCTCCAGTCTCGGTTTGCGTCTCAGCCTCCACATACAGTGTCTCTTCGATCTCGTACCGGACATTCTTTGCACAGAAGACCTTGACCGTCACGTAGATCATGATCAGAAGGATCATGAAGACAAAGACCAGGGTCAGGATGACCTCTGTGTCCAGGCGGTCCTCAAGCGTCTTGACATTCTGTGCGATCTTGAACTCCACAAGGGCCTTGGCCTCCTCCAGGGTAGCAGTTGCACCTGTCACCTGTGTTGGGCCATCTCGAATCACCAAAGTCTCGATCGCCACGCGCTTGTCCAGGGATGACTGAAATGTCTCCTTGTGGATCGCGTCGTAGAGCGCACGGGCGTCAGTGATGACTGCGCTCCTCATTCCTCGCGCTGCATCATCGTCCTTGATGTTCAAGTTGGGGTCTCGTAGCAGGCCAAAGATCAGCTTGACGATTAAAAGCTCATCAATCGCGGTCGCACATGCTTGCGACTCTGCCGCAAGAGAAGTGCGAATACCCTTGGCAGCTTGTAGCTCCTCCATCCAATCATGCTGTACTTTCCGACCTCTCCTGACATCACCTTGTTGTTCACCGCCAGGATGAGGTATCCACCTTGGCTTGCCAAGTCTTGTCGTACTCCTAGTGCAGCATCTATAAACAGGGGGAAGTGGATGTTGCGCCAATCGTCGGTGATCTTCGGAAATCGTAGCATCACGTCGGAGTTCTGCTTGCTGAAGCGTAGTGCCTTGTTGAGCTCGTTCATCACCCTCGCCTCTCTGGAGGCCAATTCTCCTGCAAGAATTGATGTGCTTGAGCACAGTGGGGGAACTCCTTGTCCAGCAGGCCATTGTAACGCTCCAATGAGCCCTCTCGCTCGTGAGACCTCCTTGTCTGTCATGGCCTGTTCTCCTCTCTTTCTGTCGATTGTCATTGGGGAAATCTTTCTCAGATACTCCTCAAAACTCAGGCATAGTTCTCCATTGTCATACTGCAAGACTCCTCCGCAGTAGGCAATCTTCTCGTCCTTCTTGAGCATTCGCCATTTGCCAAAGTTGAAGGTGACTCTGATCTCGTCGACTTTCTTCTTGGCGTCCTCATGGTTGGGGTCGTAGCCAATCAGCATGTCGTCGACGTGCAACAGAAGTAGTAGTCGTAGTTCACCTTGTTTGTCATACCAGGCAAAGAAGCAAGAGTCCAGCTTCTGCGGGTGGGTGTCAATCTTTCTCAGCCTCCTGGACGCTTCATTAACCACACCAATGGCGCATCTGAGAATCCATATGCGCTTTTGTTCATCTTCATGAAGCAGGGTCCAACCACTCCTAGGATTGGTCCACAGTCTGCTGGAAGTCGGGCTATGATCCGCCTCTTGAACTTCTGTCCAGAACCTGAAAGGCGGCTGTGACATCTCCAACAACCAAAATCCAAGTGTTGTTGCCCGCAATGGTCAAGAAGACTTGCCTGGCTGTTCTCCCTGCCGTGGGACTGTTTGTTTTCATCTTTGTAAGGTCAGGGTCCTCAAATCCACGTAGGACTAGCCTGGCCTTTGCTTTTGGAAGTCCAGTCTCCTCATCAACCTTCCATGTCAGCACACACCTGGCAGTGATCGTCCTCTTGATGTCTCCTGGCGTCATGTCGTCGGCAAACTCCCAGACCTCATTCTGAAAGAATTGGCTGAGTTCCTTCGCCTTTGCTGCTGGCATCATAGCTCTCTCCTCGCTCGTCATCTTCTTCTCATTTGCCTCATTCTTGCGTGGGTTCTGTACGACCCATGCATCTGAGAGCTCCAAGCCGTTGTCCACGATGATACATCTTCTGGAAGGTCACTTACCTCGGTGATCAAGACGTCCTCGACCATCAGCTCATTGCCGTCCATCTCCATGCTGAATCTGCCATCACGCGGTCGTTGAAGTTTTTGGCCATAAGTCCAGCGGCCGGTGGCACTGAAAATGGTGGCTTCCTGTCATAGCAGGTGTTGCATTTGAAGTTCTCCGCAGCCTTTTGACGTTCTCGGTTGCCTGGACTTCAGACAGCATCTTTTTCAGAACGGCAGGTTGGGGATGTCCAAGTGACTTGTGCAGGCGCTTCACATAGTTGTAGGCTTGCGGTCCAACTTCAGCTCGTAGTTGGGCGTTGAGCTAGATGTTGTCGTCCTTGTCGTCCTGCACCTCAATAACGTCCTTGGAGTCCTCCATGATGGCGTCGCCGTCCGGGTCAACTTCGTCCTCCGCAGGCATGATGGGGTCGAAGTCCTCTTCTGCAAGTTCTGCTGCAAGTAGATCTGCCAGCTTCCTCGCCAAGCGCCGGGGGCAATCCTCAGACATAGGAGATCGGCTTCCAAAGCCTCTTGCACTGCCTTCGATGGGCACGTGATAGGGGCATCCAGGGCAACATCGGTAAAGTCCATTGTAGAGTGACCTCTTTTTTGTCCTGAATGTCGTTGGCTTCTTTGCGGGATGCCACTGTCCTTGTTCACCAGGAAGTTTGAGTCCATACGAGCACTAACCCACATAGCAGTCGTATCCTTTCATCCTGTTGTAGGCCTTCGTTTTCCATGCTCTGCTCAACCATGGATGCTCCGTAGTTGCGTGTCGGCCAGATCTCCTCTGGGTCTCATAGACGACAGAAGTGAAGACCAAGTGCGTGTCGTGGTCCTTCAGTCTCTTCCTCATCAGCTCCTTTCTGGCCTCTTCACTTCTCGACGCACTCAGCTCTTGCAAAGAGCTCCGCAGTCTGCATGCTGGTGTGATCAGCACTTCGTCAGGCTCCTCTGCTTTCAATTTCCTCAGGAAAGCAGCTCTGTCCTTTGGTTTGTCAAAGTCCCAGCCTGTCTGGTACGAGAAAACCTCAACTTCACAGTCCCTTCTCGCCCTCAGACATTCTGAAACTCGTCCTCTTCCAACGTAGACTTCCCAAACTTTCCTCAGCTGTGAAAAGACTCCTTGTCCCAAAATGCCAGCCTCGTTGAGTTCCTTGTCCAGTCGATTTCGATCTTGTTCTGCCGAATGAATCATTTTGGTCAGCTGCGACGGTCGAAGTCTCTTCACAACCGTCGTGTCTTGCAAAGTGTAGATGAATTCTGTCGGGATCCCTTTCTCGTTACGATTGGGCTCCTCTGCATGCATCTCACCGTTGTCCTCATCATCCTCCACTTCAATGGGAGTAGTCTCAGCCTCAGGATATCCTCTGATTCCGTCACCATAGTCATCGGGTGACCAGGCTGGTGAAGGTGTAAGGTCACAGTCGGTGATCTTGTCCCTGTTGTCAGCATCGGTCTCTGCTGCAAGTCCAATCCTCTCTGATTCTGCCGCCGGCTCCTCAAGCATGATCTTGTCGATGTCAAGGTGCACGGTGAAGTCGATGTGCTCCTCGTGGTCTTCCGGGTGTTGGATTCTCTGGGTTCTTGTTTGTTAATGCAACCAAGGTGATTTTGTGGAAAAAGCCTATGTGGCCATGCATTTCCTTTTCTGGTGAAAAATGTTCTTCAAAGTTCAATGATCTGAAGACAGTGTCTATTTCAGATACGGTCCCCAAAAAAAAAGTAAAATCAGCACTTGGCAGCATGAAAGCAAATGGATTTCAATGGTTCCCGAATACTAATGCCACACACGTGCTAAAAAAAACAGCATGTGACGCACTTTTTCTGCAACAAAAGCATGCGTCAGAATCGATGCTCACCTTGCTACTGCGGCAGAGCGCCGCTGCCTTGGCGTTGTTCAAACCGCTCCAAATCCATCTATTCTTTGGTTTGCAGCACAGAGCCGCTTTTCTTCTTGACAAAATTTGCGGCCAATGCATTCCCCGCTCATTATCTTGCACTACTTCTTGTTTTTTACTTTGGCTTTGGCTGCTGCCTTTTCTTTTCCTGCAGGCTTTCGCTTCCTTGGGCCGGGCAAGGCTTCAACGCTGGACATAGCTGCGAAAGCTTTTTTTCAGAAGAAAGGTTGCACTGGAGGGATTGGCTTTGTGAAATTTGTTGAAAAAGGCAATGGGAACGTGGAAAATGCTGCTGGTTCCTCGTTCATTGAAGAAAATGTTGCACAACATTGATTTTTGACGGAAAATCTTAAATTCTGTTAAATGTCACCAAAATTGTGATGAAACTGGGCTAACAGCAGCTATTTTGCATAATTTTCGCTTGAAAGCAGGGGCTGCGGGCATGAATCAACCTTCTCGGGGCTTGGATGGTTCTGAAATGCACCCCCTGCAAATATGAACAGACCAAGTTACCAAAACTATGAAACAATTGATTCAAGAGGGCTCGCCCGAACAAGCCCGAACAACGCCCGAACAACTGCGGGCTTCCAAAAAAAAATAAAAATAAAAAAACCATCAAAACGGGCAAAAGCCCGAACAAGCCCGAACAACGGCCGAACAAGGCCCGAACACCGAAGAGGTCTATGAACCATGCGTCTTGTTATGGGAAGCCAAAATGAAAGAGATGCTCCACGAGAAATGCTAAGTTGAGGAATGCTGGCATGACTTCAGAGCAAATTAGATAGAAACGGATAAAATCATATGCAAAAACCACGTTTCTGTTGACATTTTGAAGAATTTTAATGAAAAACAAAAAAATTACGATAATTGGGAAGAAAATGGAAAGTTGGAACCTGGAAGAGATATGATGAAGTTTGTCTTGTTGAATCTCCAAAAAAAACATGTAAAGATCTCGCATGGCCTACCAAACCGCTCCAACCTGCTTTTTTCAGAAACCAACCGCGGACGCTGTCGGTCTGGTGCAGCTCACGCCGCTTCCCTCTCTTGCAGCTTTCGCCGCTTGCTTCTCTTGCAGCTTTCGCCGCCTGCAGCTCTCGCCGCCTCCTAGCTCAGAATTCTTCTAGCTCGTTTCTTGCTCCCTCGATCTCCTGCGCTTTCTCTTTTGGCCAACTCTGTCACCCAGGGCCTTTCAGGAAATAGCCGTCTGCGTAGGCAGCTTTCGCCGCTGCTTCCTTGAACATGGTAAGCTGCCCGCCCAACAAAGGGGGACAAAAACAATAAAACCATGGCAGCCCAGGCCCTGTATGCCTTTGGCATAGCGCTCTGCCCCGATGGTTTCAAATTGTCTGTAGGAAATCGATAACAAACATTCTTATAACCACATGCCATGACATGCATCCCATCGAGAAATGGTTAACTTTTCTGTAACAGCACAGCTTGAATCTGTGTAGCAGTTGAGCAATTTGGCGGATACAGTTTCAAGCCTCCACACCTTCAGCTGGCAAACCCACTCAAATCTCTGGTCTCTGCAAGTAAATTGTGGCCACAAATTTGAAATCATAAAGAAATGAATAAGGACACGCAAAGAAAACATTTTCCCACATAATTTATTGCTTTTTTTAATTTATAAACAAAATATGCAAAAACTACATGTTTTCAATGGTCCAGACCTTTTCCAATTAGAACCACTTTCAAACAAGAACCAGAACGAATCCAACACTTCCGGGATGAGGGCCTCAGGAATGTCGTAGATGAGCTCGTCACAGTTCTCTGCCAGCCTCACCAGGTACTCGTTCTTCGGTCCAAGTTGAACATTTTGCCACTGTTGTCCCTTCCACTTGTACTTGCGCTTACTGTAGTCCACCGTCAGGCCAAGCTTTTCCAAGAGCGGTCGCCCAATCAAGATCGGGCAGCTTCCACCAACGGCATAGCAAAGTACATGTCGTCGTCGATGTCCTGCAAAGATGGGCAACATGAGGCATGTGGTGGCAATCTCCTTCTCGGAGTTGCCGTACTTGAACCCTTTCTTGCACCGATAGATCTGCACAGTGGTGATGTCGTAGCCCAAGTCCACCAGGTAGCGCAAATACTTCCGGATCTGCACGAAGGATCCAAGAAAGGAAGCTGCTCCTCCGTCTTGAACTGCAACATCAGATGGGATGTCCTCCGGGATGTCAGTGAAGTAGTCCATCATAGTCGTAGTCTCCACCATGTGCACAGGGTCGTCACCGTCCTCGTGCTTGCGCTTCTTGTTACCCTGAGATGGGCAATTTCGGGCTTGATGTCCAGCTGCTCCACATCGCACACAAAGTTGTCGACCTCCTCCAAAGAAAGCCTTTACTCTGGATTTCGCACTTCCCTTCTGAGGTGGCGATGAACCACGTCCTTTTCCCTTGCTTTTTGACTTTCCCTTGCTCTTGCCTTTCGATCGTCCTTGTCCTCTTTTTCCGCTCTGGTCCATCAAGGTTGACTCGTACTTGGTTCAGCTTCGATCGGGCTTCCACAAAGCTCGCGTAGACTGAGTCATACTCATGAACGTCGAACACGTCAGCGTCGTAGCTCTCATCAAGGGCGGTCTCAGAGTCTTGGAAGTAGGAGGCGTCGTAGTTGATCCACTGCTGGTCGTACTCGTCCTCGTAGAAGGTGTTGTCATAGGCAGTGTTGTAGTCGTAGGTGTCCTTCCGGCCACGGTGATCCAACGTAGGTCTCGTCATTATACATCACGTTGTCCTTCGATCGGCTCCATCGTGGGGCACCTTCCAGTTTGGCATCTTGGCCAATCACAAAGTTCATCGTCTTCTGTACTTGATCTAGTCCAAGATTCTCATGTCCGACTGAACTGAGAACCATCAGTCTCTGCTCCTTCGTCAAGCCTGACTTACGAAGGAAGTACCAAGCTTTCAACTTCTCGGGCAGGTCCACCTTGTGCGTACTCCTAAGTCTCCGCTCTGCGTGAGTGAACTCCTGGGTGTAGTCTTGAAGCGTGTGTCCATGCTTGCGGCTCGGTGAGATGAAAAACCTCTTAAAGTCTCCAGGCAGCTCCGTCAGGGGGTCGAATTGAAACCCTCGGTCCAACCTTCGGAAAACTTTGTTGAAACCATCGGTTGACAGCTGTTCAACATCTAAGTCTTCCACTAGATCCCATGACCTACCTGTCATCATTGTAACAAGGTTGAACACTGTCTCCTTGCCTCGTCCTGCCAGCTCCATCTTTTGTCGGTAGACTTTACATCTTCGCCGGTATTCACGGTAGTTCTTGGCGCTGTTGTCCAAGACCGGGACATGGGAGTCGGCCTTCGACGCGTTGATGCCAGTCACACCAGAAGCCGCGGCACCCTCAGTCGCCATGGCCTAGCAGCAAAGGGTCGGATGCGGTCTTAGCGGCTCCGCTGCCAACTTCAAGGAATGGGCAAAATCCTTGTGGCAACTGCACACGAAGTCAGCAGCCAAACTCCCTACTTTTCCAAGGGCGCAGCCATTGGTCCATTTGAGCCCTCCCTCTGGTCGGGCACGGTTCTGTGTTCCAAGGTTCATGCGTTTGCATGCTGTGCTGTTTCCACATCTATGATTCATCCATGTTTCTGGCAGAAACTTCACATGGACAATTTGCTTGTTCTTGGCAGGTTTGCGTGGAAAAATAATGGAGCAATAATTTTTTAGAAGGCTTGTCTGTAAAACGTGGAAGATCTTGGTTCCGCAGTTCCAATGGATTTGACTTGCTGCTCCCGTCTGAAGCGAAGCTGGTCACAGTATCCATGTGGGCCTGGAGGCGTCCCAAAGCAAGACCAATCCCACAAGGTGGCAGCCCTGGAAGGTCCCTGAACCACTTGGCATGGGATTAGATTTTGAACGTCTCGACTTTCCATCCACATCATGCCAAGTGTCAAAGCTGCTGCCAATCTTTCAGCCCTTGGCTGACTCATGCCAGCACTCAGCAAGGCGAATCGCTGGAGACAAGTGGGATGGAAGTGCACTGCGCAGGATAAATGCTCAGCATCAAAAGCAGATTTTGGCCGAACGTCCAGCAGCAACACCTGAAGTTCAACAATAAATCAAATTATGGCTGTCCACCTTTTCCAAAAATTGTTGTACGGAAATGGCTGTTAATGAGAAAGCTTGCAGGGCCGGCGTTAATAAGCGACATGTTGAGCCTTTGTTACAAAGCCGGACCAGACGATCCCAGACGGGAAACCTACAAGACATTTTTGCACATGCCATCCCCAAAAAAGGGATGTGGCACTTCACATTGCCAGGGCACAGCAAGTATAGTGGTGACCCCAACCGCATGTCTAGCTGGATTAAAGCGCATTAGATATGAGCATGACCCAAGGAAAGCCCAATAGTCTTTTGGTCTTACCTTCCATTTGAACGATAGATGCTGTTAAATTGTGCTGGGGCATTCTGCAACTGAATTCCGGCATCCACACTAGACTCTCCTCGTTAGACAATGGTTGCTTATGAGCTGCGCTATCTAAGAAAACTTTTAGGATCTTACTACGACCGTGACTGCCAACCTTGGCAAATTCAGAATGTGACACTGATTGTGCAGGTGGGCAATTCCCTATGGCAAAGTTGGAAAGTCGGCGACAAATCATAAGCCTCGCTGAGGTTTACTTCACCAAACGAAAAAAATATCCTTTGCCACAAGCGTGGCATCAAACGCGGTACACACATGTAGTTTGCTCAAGTCACAGGGCGTTCAAAAAGCATGATAGCCAAAGGTTAAGCCTGCCAAACCACTTCAACATCAGCAACCGGAGACTCCCACCTTTATCTCCAAGTACACCAGCAAGAGACCCCAAACAGTGAAGGGGGTAGGAAGTCAATGTGCCAACAAAAAGCAAGTGGAGCCACGGAACAGTAACAAACGAGGGTAGACACGATCGCAACTGCAGCAGGGCCTTCTATATAGCTCTATAGCGGAGCTCACAAGATCTTCATAGAAGAAAACAAGCACATGTAAGGCATAGCATCTGCAAGATCTTCATGCAGGGACCCCCAGGATTTCCACAAGATCTTCTCTTAAGGACTTGCAGAGGATGATGAGAGGACCTCTTCGCAAGGGTTTCAAAACTATCTCCACAAGAGCCCGTTTACGCGAGAATTTACAATGAAAATGCCGCAGACCAAGAGCTGGAGAACGCCGCAGCGCAGACTTCGCGCGAGCATGCGCAATCGACATGCACATAGACATGTCAATTGACATGCACATGGAGCAGTTGTATGCAAAAAGAAAAAAGCCGGGGACCAAGATCGTGAAACCCCCACAGAGCAAACTTTGTGCGAGCCTGTGCAGCCGAAATGCACATGGACATCTCAGAAGAGCATGGCACCGCAAGAATTTACAGGAAAAGGTTGCGCCCCAAGAAAGGGACCCCCGTTTTGTGCGAGCCTGCCCAATCGAAATTCACATGGACATGCCACAAGACAAATTATGCGAACATGTGCAGGAAAAAAGCCGAGGCCCAAGCACGGGACATCCGTTTTGTTCCCACCTGTGCAGTCGCAATGCACATTGACATGCCGCAGGAAAAAAAATTACGCGAGAATTCTGAAGGAAAAAGCTGGAGCCCAAGATCGTGAAAACCCCGCTGGTCAGAGCCGGCGTAATCGAAATGCACATGGACATGTCACAAGGGCATTTCTACGCGAGAATTACAGGAAAATGGTTGCGCCCCAAGAACGGGAATGCACGTGGACATGTGGCCGAGCCTGCGCACATGGACATGCCACAAGAGCACTTTTATGCGAGAATTTAAAGGGAAAAAGGCTGGAGGTGCAGCCATCAAGTCTCACATGATGAACATGTACACAACATAGATGAACATCAGAATGCATCTCGCTTGATTTCCAAGGTGCTTTCAAACTGGGCAACCCAGTCGACGGCACAGTTTCGCCAGTGGAACTGGCTCCAAGCGCCCCGTCGCGCACGTGTTGCGCCACAGCTTCCCGAGCGAGCAGAGCCAAGCGGCGCTCTTGTTCAGCACGCGCCAAAACGCTGCCGGTCCATGGGGCACCGGTGCCCGTCTTGCGCAGCTGTTGCCGGACCTGAGAGCTGTGCGCACATCCAAGCCACATTCCTGCTGGCCTATCTCTGGAAGGAAGAGGGATAAAACGAGAGAGTTGATTGTTGGTCGGAAGTCAACTTGATGAAAGATACCTTGGCATTTTTCCAAGCAGATGTTGGTGAAACTGGTAGACCATTCTGAATGGTCATGATATGAGGAGATGTGAGTATTGCAAAGATACACCAGCACCACATGAGTACCAATCCCCCCTAGTCAATGTGACCATTACTGGCTGTGAGGTAGAAGTCCTATTGAGAGGCCTTTGGGCCTCGATCCTTTGCACGTTTAGATCTGGCACATTGATATCAAGAGATTCTACCTACCCAGTGGCAAACCATCGGCATTCATCATGCTATTTTTCATGTCTTGTCCAGCCAAGGCTTCCTGATCTGGAAGTTGTGAAATGGTGCAAACCGAATCACGAGGTTGGTTGCCACAATGGTTTCAATCAATTCAGTTGCGAAGCACAAGCCATCCCCTCAGTGCCTGCGTCAGCACTTTGGACATTCGGAAGGTGAAAGACTTTGGAGTGCGCGCATGAAGATTTTCTGCTGCTTTCCAAACATCTTTTAACTTCTCCAGAGATGTAATTCGGGTTCTATCAACTGCACTGTTGAAGTCATCTTCCTGTGCATCCAAAAATGCTTGTTTCCTCGGTGCCGCAAGTTGCATGGCCGGAGACATCCGTCCGTGGGTGGTGTCTGATCTCAGACAAAGCAACACCTATATCCATGTCCTGCATTGGAAATAATCTTGCAGTGCATCAGTTCGGCAACATCCAATGAAGACAAGTATCTAGGCATGCATTCCCATAACACTTGGATGATTACTTTCCGAAAAGACTATCTCCCTACACTTTGGCTTCTAAACGTTCTCAGCTTGGATGACGAAAAACATGCAAAAACCCAGCCAGTACATTGGATAATGCGCATGGGTCATTATCCCGTCCAATCGAGCCAAGTTTCTCCAGTTCCATCAACGCAACTGCCAAGAAAGGCACGAAAGTGGGATCCCCTCGCCGGATGTATTCATGCCACAGCCTCATAATGACATGCAATGGGTTCTTATAGGCGAAGAGTGTGATGAACCAAGGCGTTGCGTAGACCACAGGTGCAACACCAGCTTCTTCCAGTTGGTTATGCAAGTGCGGTAGGTGATACAACAACAGCTGGCGAAAAAAAAGCAGCGTGACGTGGAGAATCACAAAGCCTTGGGATGACCGTAGCGAAAAAGTCAGGACTCGGCACATTTCGAGGCCTTTCCAAAGCAAATACAATGGTAGAAAATGCCATGGAAAATCATAGACATTTTCACACAAATGCCCCACAGCAGCCATTGAGGCGTGATCACCATCCGAAACAAAAACATATTCTGCCAAAAAAACTTTGGATTAAGACTTGAACGAGGGCCCAATCAAACAAATGTTTAGGAAAACATGAGAAGGGTGCATCTGGTGAAGTGTGACATGAGGTCAAAACATGTTTCACAGGAAAAGCTCAAAGGAACTTTCTCCATCGTAAAAGCAAGGCATAAAAATTCGCACGAATGAGGTAAAGCAGTTGAGGGCTGAAGCCTCAGAATCGCCGTCAAATGCAGCTACTGATTGGATGTAGGCAAAGACAGCGGCCACCTGTGAGGGTCAATGGGTGCTTACATTGAAGGAAAGTGGAAACTTTCCCTTCCATAATCTGGTCCTAACCAAAAAAAATAGTATGAAATTCTTGGATCTCCTCCGGGGCTCAAGAATATCTTAGACCTCAGTCAAAATATTCCGAGTAAGCCAGCTCCAATTTTTCAAAAGTCCGCCTCCATCATATCTTGCGCCTTTTTTGTTCTATTTTCCGTGCCTCGTGCAGGCCCTGCATGTAACGTATCCGTTCCTTCCGACAGAGCTCCGTCAGCATCTTCCGCAGCTGCTCACGCATCGTGGCGTCGAAGGCCGGGTGGTTCCCCCGGGTGCGCAGCACGTCTACCTTGATGGTGTGCACGTCCGCCTCGCTGAGCTTGCTGGGCTCCACATTTGTGGCGCCTGGAAAAGGGTTGTAAGGGTGCATGATGTAAGGAATACTTTCAATATTCATTACGTTTCTAAAATTTCAAGATTTTGGGATTTCGTGACAAGTTTGGAGTCTGGAGATCCACCCTTGTTTATGCAAAACTAGACGACGGATGGCCCGAGAGCGTAGAGGAGCAGAGTCTTCTGTTGTTAGTACGGAGATACTATATTACACAACAATATATCAAAGATGTATTTTAAGCAGACGAGAAGAGTAGTATCAAGACAATATATCACAAACACAAGACAATAGTTTGCATCATATCTTGCCTAAAGTTTTTCACACACAGAACTTTTTACAAACAGACGCTTTTGCACACAGAGACTTTTACACACAGACGCTTTTAACACAAACGCTTTTACACACAGACGCTTTTACACACAGACGCGTTTAAACAAAGACGCGTTGACACACAGAAGCTTTTTCACCAAGAAGCTTGTACACACGGAAGCTTTTGCACACACACACAGACGCTTTTACGCACAGACGCTTTTAAACAAAGAAGCTTTTACACGCCGACGCTTTTAGACACAAACGTCTTTACACACAGACGCTTTTACACGCAGACACGTTTACATGGAAACATCTTGACACACATGCACTTTTACACACAGACACTTTTACACACAGACGCTTTTACAAAGAGAAGCTTTTACGCACAGAAGCTTTTACACACAGACACTTTTACAATTAGAAGAGCGAAGAGCGTAGAAGAGCATGTTACTCCCTTGTAAGTAGTATCAAAGACATTGTAGGTGAAAGCTTCATTGAAGATGATGCAGATGATCAGCAGAAAGGAGATAGAAATGCTATGTCAGATTCTAAGCAGAAGTAAACCAAGATAAATACACAATTTGAGAGACCGACAGAGACAGACAGCAAAGAAACACATACACACACACAGATACACAAACAAAGATACCACACGCACACACACACACAAACAGAACACAAAGAGGAAGACACATACACGCACACACACACACAGGCACAGACACACACGCACACAGAGAGGAAGACGCATACACGCGCACACACACACACAGGCACAGACATACACGCACACAAAGAGACAGACATGGGACGCACAAACAGACACGCAAACAGACACGAGGACACACACACACACACTCACTCGCGGCGAAGTCATCGTTGTCGTGGCCACCTCAGCAATCCACATGTGAGCAAGAACCTGCAGCCTCATGTTGTCACATGGGCAAGTGTGCAATCAGCAGCTTTATTCACTGTCGACGAAGTTGACGACAAAAAGTCTCATTCAATTCTGCCGATGCGCTACAACAAGTCTCAACAAGTGTCTCAACTCTCGACTTGTCTCCGCTACAGCATCAACTACAAACATCGCCAACATACTTTTTGCCATCATTTTGACATGGAAACATTCTGCGGTGTCAGGGCTCCACAACCTGGCATCGAATGAATTTCAAAGGGAAAACATTGATTTCAAACCGGCTACGTGGACATGCCATGTCTGATTTGTTCCTACTCAAATCTCAAAACCTAAGTCTGATTATGTCAACGTAAATTGTTTGTCTCTAAGAACAACAGATTCGAAACCAATGGCAAAAACTTAATTTAGAATTTGAAACACAATCTTCGGCAACACGCACTTTTTTGATGATACATGTTCTTCCAATGCAAAACGTTTTGCACATCAAAAGTTCCGTCCTCCAGGAAATAAGATGATGTCGTTCCATTCCACAACCTGGCATCGAATAAAATTCAAGTGGGACACATTGATTTCAGAGCGGCTACGTGGACATACCATATCCGATTTGTTCCTACTCAAATCCAAAGACCCAATTCTGAGAATGTCAAAGAAAATTGTTAGTCCCTAAGAACAAAGGATTCCAAAGCAGTGGCAAAAAAACAAAATCCGACATCGAACTACTGAGTTTAGATTTTGAAACACATTCTTGGGCATCACGCACTTTTTTGCTGACACATAAGGTACATGAGGTAATCATGAAATAAAAGGATAGGCAACATCAAACCACTTTCACATGTTCTTCGAATGCAAACGCTTGGCAAATCAAAAGTTCGGTCCTCCACGACATGAGATAATGTTGTTCCATTCCACAACCTCGCATCGAATGAAATTCAAATGGGAAACATTGATTTCACAGCGGCTACGTGGACATGCCATGTCTGATATTCTTGCAATCCGAACCTGAAGACCCGGCTTTTCACTGGCTGTTAGCCACTTGCTGTTCGACCTCAGTGGCAACCCCGCTGCCTTCGCCATTGCTCGCAATTCATCTCAACCGATGTCCGCAACAGCTCCTTGCAGCCAGTCCGGTCGCCTGATGGCGCCATCCTCTCGCAACTGCTGCAGCTTCTCTCGCGGCTGCCGAGCAGCTGCCTGCAGAGTGGTTTAGCCAACAGAAGAATGTTATTGCAGGCAAACATGTTCATGTTATCCTGTATTTCATAGAAAATCAAAGTGAACCACTGTGTCTAACCAAGAGTTAATTTGAAATAAACCATTCTCTCGCGGCTCCCGAGCAACTGCTTCCTCCCCAGACAATTCCGGTTGGGCGGCGGCAACTCTCGGCATAGCATAAATTGGATATCCAGGAGCTTGAGCCGCCATCAACACGAAGTAGTAATGATACCTTCAACAAATGCAACTGTTCATGCTTCCACAGCTATAAGACCCGCGAACAAAATTTACACCGTTTTTCCTGAATCCAACAGACGCACACACGAATCACATCAGCACAAACGTTTCCAAGCCAGTGACGTCTTCGGAGCCACAACCAAAATGGGTTCCATGCCTTGGAAATTGACAAGCATCAGCAGCTTCGATGAAGTCAGCAGTTTCTGTGATGTTTTGATAGTGTTTTCGCGGTGTGTGTGTGTTTCTGTCTTATCACATATTTTGTGGAAGAGCGCAACCATTATGATTTGAATCACGCTGCGTGCAATGGCATTCCTGTGTCCCTGACCTTCTGCACCAAAGCTAGAATGTGTAGCTTCGCAGCATCCAAATGGTGAGTGCCTCAGGCAGAAATGGCACAGAACTGCTGCATGGCTGGAAAAAAATCACAATGAACAACAACTTCGATCATGTCACATGAAAAACGCATAATAAATGCAGCCGGATGTAGTCACAGTCTGACAGTTTTCAACACAGATACTGTCAAAACACACGTGGAACCTGAGTCCGCAACAGATGCAGCACGCTCAGACAGCTCTGGTTGTGCTACTGTTGCTATAAGATATTACAAGTTTATAGATGATTGCCACCTTGAAGCTGCGAAACTATATCTCGGCAAGTTGGGCGGGCAGCTCGCACGGGCCAGCCAGTGATTGGATAATTTGTAGTTAAAATTGGAATTGATAATCTCATCATGAGCAGTTGACTCAGAACATCTCAATCAAAACGTTCATCTTAATTTCCAAACCAACTGATCCTTGGACTATTCCGCATACATTTCGACTTGGGAGATCTGGTCATCTGAGAGGTCGTACCTGTTAGTCATATAGACAGCTTTTGAAATGCTGTCAACGTCACCGAAGCTGGTTCTTGAATCTGAGCGCTGCACAGTTTGTGTTCGAATTTTGGGTGCTGCACATTTCGGTCATTCTGATTTGCACACACAAACTTTTACACACAAACGCTTTTACACACAGACACTTTTACACACAGACGCTTTTACACACAGACACTTTTACACACAGACGTTTTACACAAAGAGGCTTTTACACACAGAAGCTTGCACACACAGAGGCTTTTACACACAGAAGCTTTTACATACACAGAATTCTACTCACACAAGCTTTTACACGCAGACCCTTTTACACATAGAGACTGTTACACACACACACAAGCTTTTACACACACAGACTGTTACACACAGACGCGTTGACACACAGACACTTTTACACACAGACACTTTGACACACAAACACTTTCACACACAGAAACTTTTACACACACAGACGCTTTTACACACAGACACGTTTACACACAGACGCTTTTACACACAAACACTTTCACACACAAAGATTTTTACACACAGAGTCTTTTACACACAGACGCTTGTACACACTGAGACCGGACCCGTGAAATCGCAATTTTACCTCACTTTTGGCGATCGAACCTCATTTCGTGCTAAAGGGTACGCCGGACAACTTGGAAATCGCAATTTTACCTCAGTTTTTGGCGATCGAACCTCGTTTCGTGCGAAAAGCGTTCGCCGGACAACTTGGAAATCGCAATTTTACTAAGTTTTTGGCGATCGAACATCATTTCGTGCGAAAAGGTTCGCCGGACAGCTTGGAAATCGCAATTTTACCTCAGTTTTTGGCGATCGAACCTCATTTCGTGCGCAAAGGTTCGCCCGACAACTTGGAAATCGCAATTTTACCGCAGTTTTTTGCGAGCGAACTTCATTTCGTGCGAAATGGTTGCGATTGGACGCGTGAAATCGCAATTTTACTTCAATTTTTTGGCGATCGAACCTCATTTCGTGCGAAAGGGTTGCATTTCGTGCCGTCTCGTTGGCACTGCCCCACGCCGTCAAGAGAGAAATAGAAAAGACGGAGAGAGCAAGAGGGCAAGAGGGCAAGAGAGCAAGAGGGCAAGAGAGAATGTGAAGATGGGAGGATGTGAAGATGTGAAGATGAGAAAATGTGAAGATGAGAAGATGTGAAGATGAGAAGATGTGAAGATGTGAAGATGAGAAGATGTAAAGATAAGAAGATGAAGGGGGCAAGAGAGAATGTGAAGATGTGAAAATGAGAAGATGAGAAGATGGGCAGATGTGAAGATGAGAGGATGTGAAGATGTGAGGATGTGAAGATGAGAAGATGTGAAGATGAACAGATGTGAAGATGAGAAGATGTGAGGATGTGAAGGTGAGAAGATGTGAAGATGAACAGATGTGAAGATGAGAAGATGATGAGAAGTTGTGAAGATGAGAAGATGTGAAGATGAACAGATGTGAAGATGACAAGATGAGAAGATGTGAAGATTGTAAGATGTTGTGTGAAGATGTGAATATGTGAAAGGAATATGTGAAAATGTTTGACAGACCCCCACTATTAGAAGAACCCTTCGCTCAGATGCTCTCGGGAAAAAAAAGAAGCGCTCGTGGGGACCTTCTGTTCGTTCTTCCACCAAAGCCAGGTAAACACACTTCCAATTTCGCACCCATCACAACAAAGTGGTGCCCCCTACTTAGAAAAGTTGGTCCGACAGTTGGTCAACTAAGGTTCCAGTAGTACCGCGCAAGGTGGTGGCGGACGTTTCAAAGATAGGAGATTTTGGTTGTTGTGATGCATGGTGGCAGAGCGAACCCACTGATGGACCAAAAGGCGGTTGAGCCTCTGAGTCTTTATCTTTCTCTCTCTCTCTGTCTCCTTCTTTCTCTCTCTCTCTCTTTTTTTTTCCTCTCTCTCTCTCTTTTTTTCTCTCTCTCTCTCTCTTTTTCTCTCTCTCTCTCTTTCTCTTTTTCTCTCTCTCTCTCTCTTTTTCTCTCTCTCTCTCTCTTTTTCTTTCTCTCTCTCTCTCTCTTTCTCTCTCTCTCTCTCCCTCTCTCTCGCCATCTTTCTTTCCCTCGGTCTCTCCATCCCTCTCCATCTCTCTCCCTCGGTCTCTCCATCCCTCTCTCTCTGGATCTCCTTCTCCCCCACTCTCTCTGGATCTGTCTGTCTGTCTGTCTGTCTGTCTGTCTATGTGTCTATGTGTCTATGTGCCTACGTGTCTATCTGTCCATCTGTCTATCGGTTTATTCATGTTATCTACCTATCTATCTCTGTCTGCCTGTCCGTCTGTCTATCCAGCACTAGCTATCTCACTCTCTACCAATCTTTCTTTCTTCCCCTCTATCTATCTGTCTGTCTGTCTGTCTGCCTGTGTGTCTGTCTATCTATCTATCGATCTATCTATGTATCCATCCATCCATCCATCCATTGATGCATCTATCCATCTAATCGATCTAATCTATCTAATCTATCAATCAATCTATCTAATCCATCCAATCTATCTAACCAATCAAATCCATCCAATCTATCTATCAGATCTAAACTATCTAATCTATCTAGTCTATCTAATCTATCTAATCTATCTAATCTATGTAATCTTTCTAATCTATCTAATCTATCTAATCTATCCAATCTATCTAATCTATCTCATCTATCTAATCTATCTAATCTATCTACCCTATCTAATCTATCTATCTATCTCATCTATCTCATCTATCTCATCTATCACATCTATCTCATCTATCTCATCTCTCTATCTGTCTATCTGTCTATCTGTCTACCTGTCTATCTGTCTACCTGTCTATCTGTCTACCTGTCTATCTGTCTATCGGTCTATCTGTCTATCTGTCTATCTGTCTATCTATCTATCTCTCTCTCTACCTGTCTATCTATCTATTTATCTATCTGTATATCTTTCTATCTAATCTAATCGAATCTAATCTAATCTATCTACCTATCTACCTGTCTACCTATATACCTATGTTTCTATCTATCTATCTACCTACCTACCTATCTATCCACCACTACCTCACTAGATCTGTATGCCTTTATCTGTCTGTCAACCTCTCCCAATCTCTGTATCTCTCTGTCTCTCTCTGTCTCTGTCTGTCTCTCTCTCTGTCTCTCTCTATGTCTCCCTGCCTCTTTCTACCTCTCTACCGCTGTATCTTTCTACCTCTCTGCTTCTCTATCTCTCTATCTATGAATCTATCTATGAATCTATCTATGTGTCTGTCTGTCTATCTATCTATCTATCTGTCTGTTTGTCTGTCTGTCTGTCTGTCTGTCTGTCCACCTATCTATCTTTCTATCTATCAATCTATCTATCTATCCATCTAGCCATCTATCCATCTGTTTATGTATCTTTCTATCTGGCTTTCTAGCTATCCAGCAGCCTTGCTATGTAGCTATCTAATTACCTAGCTATCCATCTATCTATCTGTCTGCCTGCCTGTCTGTCTATCTACCTATCTTTACTTTTCTATCTATCTATCTGTCTGTCTGTCTATCTACCTATCTATCTACCTATCTATCTACCTATCTATCTATCTCTCTTTCTCTCTCTTTCTCTATCTCTCTATCTCCCTATCTCCCTATCTATCTCTCTATCTCTTTATCTCTCTATCTAATCGATCTAATCGATCTAATCTATCTAGTCTATCTAACCTATCTAATCTATGTCATCTATGTAGTCTATCTAATCTATCTAATCTATCTAATCTATCTATCCATCTATCCATCTATCCATCGATCCATCCATCCATCTATCCATCCATCCATCGATCTACCTATCTAATCTAATCTATCTAATCTATCTAATCGATCTAATCTATCTCGCTCTATCTAACTATCTGTCTATCTACCTACCTTCCTTTCTTTCTGTCTATCTATGTATCTATCTATCTGTCTGTCTGTCTATCTATCGACCTATGTCCCCTGTCTATCTCTATCTCGATCTCGATCTCTATCCATCTATCTACGTGTCATTCTTCCATTGAAAGGAAGCAGTTGTGCGAGACTTTCTTCAAAAGTGGACGTTAACAGGTCCAGAGTCCAAAACGAAGCAAGTGTGCAAGAGTTCCTCATTTTTGGAAATTGACAACATCAAAAAACGAAGCAATTCTGCGGGGCTTCCTTCAAAAATGGAAAGTTGAGTGCAAAGCTGACTGCCTCGTGCGAACGTGTTTTGCGATTTTTCCACCCCATCTGTCTACAAATTAAATATTGCCCCTGCCACGAAGTGTTGCACCTGTCACGCAAAATCATCTGAAGATCTGATGCTCTAAAACGCAGCCCCTCGCAGGAAATTAGCGGCCTGATCTCCTAACATCTCTGGTCAACATGTCTCTTGTACTGCCCCTGCCACGTGAAATGCATCGTTGTAGATCCTCTTCAAACGTCCCACCCCTGCCATCGTTTTTGCAACTGCAACGAAACCTTCACATCTTGCTCACTTTTGGACTTGTGCAGAATCCATTGCGCCTGCCACCCGAAACCACGTCCTAACGTCCAAATGTGGTCTGAGGCCGTCAGTTTTAACACTTTGGACTTGCGAATGCGTGCACTTTTAAACAGCTCAATTGCCAAAAGTGCTCAAAGTGCTTGGAACCTGAAGCGCTTTAAGGCTTTTGACTTTGAAACTTGCTTCTTTGAAATTTGCTTCGCGTCACAACGGCATGGCACTTTTTGCGCAGTACAACTTCCAAAAGCGTTCTGAGGCTGAGGTGTTTCGCGCCGAGGACGCTTGCAATTTTTGACCTCTCACCCCGCCCGATGGCTCCGCACCCGCCCCCTTAGCGAGCCCATCTTTCGACCCTCCGGAGCCACAAAACATTGGAAGAACACAATGTCTCGCGACATTTCTACCTTTTTACGCACTTTGATCTTCTTTCTGCTGACTCTCTCTTCTCCGACTCTTTCTCTTCTCTGATCTTCGTTCAGCTGGCTCTCTCTTCTCTGACTCTTTCTCTTCTTTGAGTGTTCTCACAACTGCTGCTGCGTCTGTCCATAGGTCGGAAGTTTGACTTCTAAACTTCCTTCGGTAAGGTAGAGATATATCTATACTTGGACGGTTTAATGAACCAATGCATTTCACAGCAGGGGCCCCACCTTCTGGTGGCCCATCCTCCTGACCTTTGGCCAACATTTTGGGCCAAAGCTTGGCGCATTCGGCTGCCAGCGCCAGCGACTTCTCATGCTCTTCTGGCAAGATGCTGGCGTCGCCACTCATGGCGACCCGGGAAGGGCATGGATAGAAGGGATGGGCGATGGAGTCTTGAGCCCGGTGAGTTGACACTAGACTCTGGTGGTTGATGATTGTTGTTGGTGGCAATGAAGCCAAGGGAAGGTAGCTTCATGATGTTTGAAACGAACACTTTTTGCTACTCATCCAAAGGTAAAACAAGGTACACCAACCAACCCTTTCAGGCAAGTGGTGCCTTACAAAACATCTTCATGTGCTTGCTGGGCTACAAGGTGCAGGAAGCAAAGCAAGCAAATGGCTTGAACCAAGCCTTGAACCAAGCTGCAGTTGGGTCAAACAATCTGACCCGGAGACTTGTAAGGACCCCATCAGAGATTACCGCAGCCTACATGTTTTCCCCATGAGGCTTGGATGAGAACCCTACCAGCCTTGATGTTGCCTGGTTGTGACATGGGCATGAATGAAGATAAACAACAAGAGCCAAAACATCGCTTAAATTGGGAGTTTCCAAAACTTCGACCCTATCATCATTGTGCTGGTGCGGTACTGCCTTTTTGGAACAAAACCATTACATTGGCAAGAGGCCCCGAACAGTGTGGGGAGTCGGAAGTCAATGTACCAGATACAAGTAGCAGCTATGGAACAGTAACAGACGAGGTTAGTTAGATATGATTGCAACTGCAGCAGCAGGACCTGCTATATAGATCTATACAGAGGAGCTCACAAGATCCTCATACCAGAACTTCCTATGAGCATCGCAGGAGAACTTTGAGACAAGCACCAATGCAGAGGATCTTCAAGATCTCAATGCAAGGACCTTCCGAGGAGAATTTCAACAAGATCTCCGCAAGATCAGCTCACCAGGGCCTGTACAAGATCATGTAAGGACACCGGGAGGATTTGACCAAGACCTCCTCAAGAGCTTCTCACAATGACCTGTACAAGATCATGCCAAGGCCAGTGACAGCATTTCGCTAAGATTTCCACAAGAGCGTCTCACAAGGACTTGTAAAAGACCTTGACGAAGATCTTCATGCCAGGACCCTTAAGAGAAGCTCACAACATCGTCATAAAAGGACCTGCTGCTGCTGGAGCTTACAAGCCTCCCAAGAGCCTCCCAAAAAAATGCTTTCATACAAGCACCTGTAAGACATGGTAATTGGCGAGGACCTCTCCACAAGATCTTCTGTCCAGGACCTGTAGAGGATCATGCAAGGACCTCTTAGAAGATGTCAGCAGGATTTTCAGGAGATCTTCTCATGAGGACCTGTGCGAGATCCTGCAAGGACCTCTGACAGGATTTCATCAGGATCTTCACAAGATCTTCTCACAAGGACCTGTGCAAGATCATGCACAGACCTCTGACAGGATTCCACCAGGATCTTCACAAGATCTTCTCACAAGGACCTCTACGACGCTTTTGTCAAGATCCCCATATACCAGTAGTACCGCACAAGGCAGTGGCGGAAGTTTCAAAAATAGGAAACCTATAGGAGAGGTTGGTTATTGTGAATCACGGATGGCAGAGCGAATCCACTGAAGGACCGAAAGGTGGTTGGAGTTGTGTTTTTTGGAGTGGTTGCAATGGTTGCAGTGGGCACCTCACCACAACTGCTGGATGTAGTGTGGTGCAGTGCAGTTGTAGTTTTAGTTGTAGCGTAGCTGAGTTGTATTTGTAATGTGGTGTAAGTAGCGTAGTGTAGTTGGCAGTTGTAGTTGTGGTGTGGTGTAATTAGTGTAGCGTAGTGTACTGAAATGTTGTGTACTGTAGTATGGTATAGTGTAGTGTAGTCTAGTGTAGTGTCGTGTAAAATAATGTAGCTGTAGTTGTAGTGTAGTGTAATTTGTGTAGTGTAGTGTAATGTAGTGGAAGTTGTAGTTGCAGTTGTAATGTAGTGTAATTAGTGTAGTGTAGTTGGATTTGCAGTTGTGGTGTGGTGTAATTAGTGTCGTGCAGTGTCCTGCAGTGTTGTGTACTGTAGTGTGGTGTAGTGTAGTCTAGCGTAATGTACTGTAAAGTAGTGTAGTTGTAATTGTAGTTGTAGCTGTGGTAGTAGTAGTTGTTGTAGTTGTAATGTAATTAGTGTAGCGTAGTGTAGTGGTAGGTGTAGTTGTGGTTGTAGTTGTCTATCTATCTATCTGTCTATCTGCAAGCTTGAAAACGAAGCCATTCTGCGAGACTTCTCAGTTTTTGATTTCGACAACATCAATTTTGCCAGACTTCCTCAATTTTTGAATTTGATAACGTCAAAAACGAAACAATTCTGCGAGACTTGCTCAATCTTCGAAGTTGACAACACCAAAAACGAAGCAATTCTGCGGGACTTCCTTCAAACATGGAAAGTTGAGTGCAGAGCTGACGGCCTCGTACCAATGCGTCGTGCGATTTTTCCATTCCATCGGTCTAAAGTATTGCACATGCCACGAAAAAGTGAGGCCAGGTCATACAAAATGCTGCACCTGTCACGCAAAATCATCTTAGCAAACCTGAAGATCTGATGTTCCAAAATGCAACTCTTCTCAAGGAAATCAACGCCCTGACCTCCTAACACCTTCGCTGAACATATCTCTTGTACTGCACTTGCTAGGCCTTTGCCACCTTTTCGCGCACCTGCATCTTCTGTCTTCTGGCTCTTATTCTTCTCTGATCTTCTCTCCTCTTCTTCTCTTCTCTTCCCTGACTCTTCACACCTCTGCTTTTCCATCTGTCCAATTGTCGGAAGTTTGACTTCTAAACTTCCTTTGATTACGGACCTCTAAGGCTGCACCATGAAGCCCTTGCAAGATCGCCTAAGACCTGCGCAGTTGAAATGCGCATGGACATCTCACAAAAGCAAGTTTATGCGAGAATTTGCGGGAAAAAGGCCGCGCACCAAAACTCAGGGGTAGCTTGTGTGCGAGCCTTTGCAGCCGAAATGCGCATGGACATCTCGCAAGGGCAATTTTTTGCGAGAATTTAGAGGCAAAAAGCCGCGCCCTAGCACTTAGGCCTACCTTGTGTGCTAGCCTTTGCAGCCGACATGCATATGGACATCTCACCAGAGCAAGTTTATGCGAGAATTGTGACAGGCAAAAAGGCCGCGCCCCAGAACTTAGGCCTACCTTGTGTGCGAGCCTTTGCAGCCGAAATGCACATGGACATCTCGCAAGAGCAATCTTTTGCGAGAATTGTGACAGGCAAAACTTAGGCCTACCCTGTGTGCGAGCGTTTGCAGCCGAAATGCATATGGACATCTCACCAGAGCAGTTTTGCACGAGAATTTACAGGAAAAATGCTGGGCCCAGAGAGCGATCTTGATCTAACTAACCCCGGCCTTAACACTTACCAAAAGAATCCCTCAGGGTGGACACACGGTTTGGGGAATGATTTCACACACCCAATCCTAGGTCCGGTTTTGCTTCCCAATTTGCACTGGGGCCTTGGGCAATGCCTTTGCTAATGGTCGGATGTTGCGCTTCAAGCGTCGATCTGACAGGGACACCACCTGGCACAGACTCGAATGCCATGGCTGAAGGAATCAGTGGGCCGGTCTGAAAATTGGGCACGTTAGTTTTATGGCCATTTGAAAGGGGTAATGAGGATAATCCCAAGGGATTTTGGGGTAAGCCATGTCGAGACAAAGAAAATTGTTTGGATCAATGCATTCATGGAGTAAATGGATCTTTTCATCATGCAATGGATTATTCTCTCAACATTGGCCTACACCCCACATTGAAGGGTCACAATGAGCCAAAAAACCTTGAAGTATTGCTTTTTGAAAGTCCCCCTTCAGGTGCTGGCCATACCTCTAGAGGTACCCCAACAAGGTCACCCCAAGGTTCACCCCGCGCCGTGTCAGCGGACCAGAGACCATGGAGGATGCCTCACAGGCAGGGCGGATGCCTCACTTTTGGCTTTGACATGGTGGTGTGTCTACTGTGTCTACTGTGACGCAGTGTCTATTGAGTCTACTGGGTCTGCGGAGAAAACGGAAAAGCTTCCTGGTCTTTCTGGTATACTTTACCGAAAGACAGCCAATCAATCTGAACAAACATCAAGTTTCGAAAAGGTAAACTCTTGTGAGCCGTCCACAGATTTCCTGTGTTTACCAAAGCCAGTGATTGTTTCCAAAGCATGAACTTGCAACAACTGGCTTACGGCTGATGGTGCAGCTTCAATGATCTTTATGGCATTGAAGCAAGATTTTGCGACCTGCAAGCTAAACAAATCAGGCCCGAACATCAGCTGAAACGGGTTGCAATATGCTCTCTGCCATGTAGGCTTGGAGCATCAAGGGATGTTTCATGACTGGTTGGTGGTTTAAACCCCTCTGAAAAATATTAGTCAGTTGGGATGATTATTCCCATGTTCCAAACCACCAACCAGATGATGTTTCACCGCCTCGGTCTCCACACAGCTGCGGATTCCCACGGCCTCCATCACTGGTCAAGGAGAGGGTGCGAGTGCCCGAGACATAGGCCTCTGCAGGGCCCTGGTGTCATCCCAATCGTTACGATCCCTCCAACAACAATTGATTTCACAAATTTCGTGAGCAAACCTTGAAGAAACAAGACCCAAAAAGGACCATCCATACGGAACTGCGTGTTCCAGCCAGTTCCAGTGCAACTCCATACCTCCAAATTTCCGGAGGCAGAGTCCAAGTAGGTGGTCTCTGAAAAGCGGAGTGCTCCACCTGTGCTGCACAGAACAGCCGAAGTGTTAGAACTATTGGGAGGTGCTGGGAATTTCCACCTGAAAACTCATGGGCATTTTGTAAATGCCATGGCTCCAAAAACTAGTCCATCATGATCTTCAAGGAGTGCAAGTGGGGATTATTAAATGGTGAATAAAACCCGAGACCCGCAATCCCAAGTCCAATCGGCAGCCCCGAGACCCTCTACCGGAACGCTGAGTGCCTAGCTGACGGTCAAGTCACCATCAACACACACCATATGACGCACCGATGGCGAAGATTCAGGCCTCGGTGGTGCATATTATGGGAACCATGGTGAGATCACCTCAGGTGGGATATAACCCCTATAACTATTCATAACTATGACATATAGACTTAGGACTTACGCCCCAACTGCACCCCCAATTCCCTTGTGGATCGTGGAGCCACCCCAAACGATATGGACAAGGAAAAGTCTTGTTGGTGAATCAAACCACCAGAGCTGATCATATGACATGGCTGGTTCATGGTTTCAGCCCTCTGAAACCATAAATATGGTTGGGAAAAGACGTGGACGAGATCTCCCAATCTCTGGTTCTAAAGCATGAAACCACAACGCACAGGGCGCGACTGTGCAAAATCCAGCACCGAGAAGGAAAAGTCCGCTCAAGCATAACTTCGAGCCTCAGAAGCTGTCACTGTGCCACAGCCTTGCGGTTTCAGAAAGATGATGATGGTAATACTACTGTTCGACGGAAGTTTAGAAGTCAAACTTCCGACAATATGGACAGATGAAAAGCAGAGGTGGAGCAGAAGAATAGAGAAGAGAAGAGCAGAAGAGAGAAGAGCAGAAGAGAGAAGAGAAGAAGAGAGAAGATCAGAGAAGAGAAAGCCTCAGAAGAAAGAAGATCCAGGTGCCCGAAAAGGTAGGAAAGTCGCGAAACACTGTGTTTTTCCAATGATTTGTGGCTCCAGAGGGTCGAAAAGTAGGCTCGCTAAAGCGGCGGGTGCGGAGACGGTGGGCAGATGAGAGATGAAAAATTGCATGCCGTTGTGGCGCGAAGCACATGTCCAAGTCAAAAGGTACAAAGCACACCGGCTCTGGACCACTTTTCGAAGTTGCGATATCGAAAAAGTGCACGCCGTTGTGACACGAAGCACATTTCGAAGTCAAAATGTCAAAGCACACCATGTTCGGGCCACTTTTGAAAGTTGAGATCTCGCAGAATAGCTTCGTTTTCAAGCTTGCAGATGGATAGATAGACAGACAGAGAGAGAGATAGATAGACAGATAGATAGAGAGAGAGAGAGAGAGAAAGAGAGAGAGAGAGAGAGAGGGAGAGAGAGAGAGAGAGATAGGATAGGATAGGATAGATTAGATAGGTTAGATAGGTCAGATAGATTAGAAAGATTAGATAGATTAGATGGATTAGATAGGCTAGATAGATTAGATAGATTAGATAGATTAGATAGATTAGAAAGGTTAGATAGATTAGATAGATTAGATAGATTAGATAGATAGATAGGTAGGTAGGTAGGTAGGTAGGTAGGTAGGTAGATAGTCAGAGAAAGAGAGAGAAAGAGAGGAGACCTCAAGCACCTTTCGGTCCATCAGTGGCTTCGTTCTGCCGTCCGTGATTCACAACAACCAATCTCTCCTATAGGTTTCCTTTTTCTGAAACTTCCTCCACCGCCTTGTGCGGTACTACTGGTAATAGTAGTATAATGGTTGTAGTAATCTACACATATCAATCAGAGAACTAGTGATGATGATGATGATGATGATGATGGTATGGTGTGAGAATCCATGTGGAGGGGAGTTTCAATTGTGCAAACTTGCGACTTGGTACGAAGAAATGCTTGGTCAAGCTGTCTGGCGGCGCACTTTGGCATCATGACACCATTCAGCGCTGAGCCATTGAAACAACAAGAATTGCGAGCTTTGATCACCATCCTCATGAATTTCAAACTTTCACGTCTCACAGCAAGTCTTCCTACATTTTCACAGCCATCCAGCTGGCCAAGTGACCAGAAATGATGGGCCCATCGCGCAGCTGTTCAGCACCAAAGGCGCGAAATCCAAACACATCGCACCGAGGAGAGACGACGATGGATCCATCCGCATGGAGCGCACCGACGACAAGAGACCTGGCTGTCAGGCACGGCTTCACCGAAGGTGAACAAAAAGAGACCTTGGCAACTCTGATCTTTGTGCTGAAAATCAAAAGGCAAGGTTTTGACAAGTTTTCTGGAATTTGGGAAGGGGAGGCTTAGACCACAGCATCCCTGTGCCAAAGAGAAGCTGTGAGAGGGATTTTATACCAACGACACCTGTGGGAACTGCGCTGTATACAGCTACAGTCTGAGGTTCTCAGTTAGACAATGATTCACACATGTATTGACGCACATAATTCTCGGAGCAGAGTCCCAAGACGTTCTCTGGGTTCATTCGCAGTTGGAATCACCATGAAGAACGTCAGAACGGTTGACAGCCGAAAGGGTCTTTCTATTGGGCTCCAAACTTTGGCAGTTGAGTCCCAACCAAACCCAATCAAATACCAAGTGATGCAGTTAGAGTTCTTAGCTTTTCGACATGGATCATCTTCCTGGTGGTGGGCCAACAAGTTGGATCCATCTACCACCCATCCCCACCTAAATGGCTGAACCCCAGCACGAACAGGGCAGCTCCTCTACAGTGGTCGAAGGGAGGTTTTGGATGTCCCTAGAATCACCACAAGCAGAGCTGCAACACGTGGCAAGGTGGAAACAAACCAAAGTCAGTTGAGATTATCCTGCCATTTCAGAGCTGCAGCACAAGAAACCCTGGCAAGAAAGATCAAAAAAGCATCGCCCGTCCCACGACATAGGTTCAAATGTGGGCCTGGTGGTGTGATTACAAGAAAAAATCGAGTATATAGCATTTGCTGTCCCATACTGGAGTTCTTCATGAGCCAAAGTAATGGTATATCCATGAGTAGATTGCAGGCATGCATTGGTGGCACCATCATCGAAGCACCGCTCCTGGTCTCGCGCAGCTTCGCAGCAACGACAAAGGCCCCAGCTGCAGAGCTCCAGGAGCCAATGAAGATGGACCTGGACGCGACCTTGGCGAATGACATCGGGCCGCCCCGAAGATCCGATCATTGGAATATCTGAAATGATGGGGTGTAGACCAGGATCAATGAGACTTGCGGTTTCTTAACAGAGTCTGGACTTTGATGATTCTTTTGCTTGGCCCATAGACTACACATTCTAATACTTTGGAGAGAAACTCTGTCTTTTTCTTCTAGTCCATCATGATATCCAAATAGGTAGGGAGCTAAAAATCGGTCGGGTTTGCACAGTATGCAAACCATCCCAAGGCTCCCGGCCTACCACCTGGCCGCAGAGGTGAGATTTTCAGTAACATGTCTTCAAATGATTTAGGCTTAGGTTATCTCTTAGCCTTGACAATGTTGATAAAGCAACTTCATACAGGGAATCTTCAGATCATTATCATGCTGGTGAGCCAGGATTCGTCTAGGACTGTAAGTGGTGGGACGTGCCAGCCAGTCTAATTTAAATACTCCTCAACCACAGGCCTATGCCATTGGGCCGCCAGCATCCGCCAGCTGCGATAGGGAAAGCCGTTAGGGGTCTCCGTCCAACTAATGACCATTGCAATGATTGTTCTTCCGATAGAGACTGGCCATCCCGAAATCAGACCCCATTCAACCCGTTTTCCCCAAACATCGACATGCTTGGGTGCACTGTAGAGTTGTTCTTGTGTGGAACCTATGGAACCATCCCGGCCCAGCCTGCAGGCAAGGAAGAACTGAGACGCGCCAAGCTCCGAGGTGATGACGGAGGCTCTGGAAAAGTGAAACCTGGCCATGGGAACTGGGAAGGAGTAACAGTATAGGCTTAAAAGCAACTGATGATTGTAATTTGTCAGTCAGTAATTAGTGGCCCATTGCCGCAAATGCCACAAATGGTTCTCGGCAGAAGCAACTGTAAATGCAAATGTGTAACTAACCATGACCCAGTATATCACGAGGACATGCAGGCAAAGCCAAGTACAAAGGGGAATGTGACCAACAGGAATGGGGGCAGCAATAACACAATAACAACAGGTCTAGGGCGGTTTGCCAGGAGATGATCTGGACAGCTCAAACATGAAGATTGGAAGGCTAATCTGCACTGAGAATGCAGCCAATATGATTGGATATCTGTTGAATTCATTGATTAGTTGAACGGGGCTCAACAAGTGAGTTGATCAGCCAGATTTGTTCCATGAAGAGTCCCACAAAAAACATGCTTGGCTTGGGGTGACTACCTAGCGAAATCGACTTCAACTTGTTTGGAATCAGAGTTTGCTTGTCAACTTCTAGTGGGCAAATGTTCTTGCAGATTTTGCTGATGTTGGCCCCTGACAAAAGCGGAGATGCAACAAGGTAGAACAATGCCGCAGTGTCAGAGTGTGTCCATGATAAGTAGGCTAAGTCTGGTCCCAAACATCAGCTTGCATGAAACACTGGCAAGTTGAGGCTATTCAAATGCAGCACACCTGTGGGGCTTTGACTTGCCTTGGCCCAAACTTTCAATGCTCAGCCAAAAAAACAACATATCGGCTGGTGGTCCAGAACTTAGGTGGCCTAACCCTGAAATCTATTGCACCGCAAAATTTTGGGTCTCCCATGGTCAGATTTGCACCCAGATCTTCCACGGACCGAGGCCCTCATCCGCCTACTGCTGATGTCAAAGCTCCTGATGGACCAGAGACTTTTCGGTCGATGAGATAAGTAATGACTTGAAACAACGGCTTCACCTAGGATCAATGGCAAGTAACCAGAGAAAGGACACTGAAACTCAGCGTGACTTGAAACCATGAAGGGTTGGCCGATGAAACTGGCACCACCCTTTGGCCTGTCTGCACGGAACCTGAGCTCAGGGTGTGAGCCGTCCGAAATCCATGGCCCACCTCTGGATCTAAGCTGAGGATGACCCACATCAACATATCACGCTTTTTATCACAGACACTTTTGGATCATCCAAAGGTAAAAAACCACCAAAGTTCGTGTCATCTTGGGATTTATCAAACAAATGTGGTAAACCCAACAACAACAAACCTACCATTCAGAGGTTGTTTATCATTTTAGCACATGGAGAATCCATCCGCGGAACAACGGTCCACCAAGCCGCTCCGCACCGGCACGGCGAAGCCCAGCGCCGTCACGTCAGGCACCGACGGAGAAGCATCCAGGCGAGCGAAACTCACGAGGCTTAGGGATGCATCCGAGCGGGCCGAGGACCGAGCAAACAACCTGAAAGGACGTTCTGAGCTGAAGATCCTGATGATTGGTGTTTCAAGCCCAACACACATATTTATATATATATATATAAATATACATACATACATACATTTGGGATCATCATAGGACGAGAGGAACAAAATGGTAGCGCCAAGCTGCATTGATGTTGATCGAACCTGGATTTTTGTTGGTTAAACATCAGCGCAATGTAGGGATACTAGATAGATAATACGTTGGTTTAGTAGCACGCTAAGTATGTTTTTTCAGTGGATATATCTACAGTCCACATATTGCAACCATAGTTGAAGCACCACTGTAACTTTCCAAGAGACGAAACGTCCATGTTGGCAAATCCCAAGACCAACAGGAGCACGTCGCAGCAACAGAAACTTCGCAAGAACAGCAATGGACCTGGCCCAAAGGAAGGGATAAACCACCGGTCCAAATGGTCAAACTTTTTGGGTCCTCACATTATCCTGGCCATCCCCAGGTCTTCGCGCCTGGAATAGCAGCATCTGCCACTAAAGGTGAGGAGATGAAGCCCACCTCACTGCGGATTGAACCATCCGGATGTTTTTCTTGCTGGACTTGGTTGGTTATCTTCTTTGGGGGTCTCTGACCAACGACATTTGGAGAATTCATAAATCATGGTGAGCCCTTCCTTTGGATGTTCCAAAGTATGGAATGAGCTCAAAGACTGTATTCTTCTTACGTCAGAAGCCACCAATGATGCCGAGATCAACCTGTCATTCAACATGACAAGTTCTTTTCCTCACTCTCCATGTAGTGCGTGCGAGTTTGGATCAATTGTCAAGCCAAAGGTTCGGATCTGTGTGGGAGCCATTCAACAAATGCCAACAACACACACCAACAGCAAATATCAGGTGTGTATAGGCATTCTTAAGTATTTCGCTAGTAAAGTAAGCCTTTTTTCTATCTCTTGTACCCTCTGGTAAACAGCCATGGCCGCAGGGAAACCCCAAGATTTTCAGAGGAACATCCTCTTTACATGGAACAAAACTGTGGGGTTTCCAAATTTTGCCAGGTGAAGTTATTACCACAATTTCGTCACACCTCCAAATCCAAACTTCTCCAAGCAACTCATATTGCACCACAGGTCGATGATGCAGCACCCGAATAACACAATGATTGAGGCGAAGAGGAGAGGTCCGGATGCGCAAAGCTCAGGGCAGACGATACCAAGTCGAGCTACCTCGATGAGTTTGTGCTGAACATGGACTTCAGGGATAATCTTTTCATCTGGAGCATCATGAAGGTGTCAAACATGAACCAAGTTGGCAGATTCCATGAGGAATGGTCCGATTTATTGGGTTTATTGAGGAGAAAGCCAACACAAAGTCGGCACGGAAAGCAAGGACCTACCAAACACATATGGGCCTCTCCTGGAAAGCCTGGTGGAATGTGGTGGAGATATGTGGAGATATTCGTTTTTGCTCCCCCAAAAAAGGAATTGATCATTTTAGTATACTAAAAGTGGCTCAAACCCTCATGGTCCCCATGGTGGTATCCACATCCTGATGCAAATCAACCTTGAACCATCTTTGGTGGATGAGGCTATGTGGCTGAGACACAATGCATGCATATTGAATCACAATCCTCAACATTCGAAGATTGAGCATCTGATGGTTCAAGGTTTCAGCCCAGTCTTGCAGATGTATGCGATCATCCCAGTTGTCAGGGGGGTGATTCTCCGATCTTCGCTGAGCCACAAAAAACTCTTTGGCGGAGAGGAGAAACCTGGCACACGACACTGCCACCGCAGCCAAACAGAAAGAAGGAACAAACACAGGGGCAATGTGTGTGGCGGCAAAAACATCACCAGGCAATGTTGACTTTTTGCCTTTCTTGCTGAAATCAAAAAACATCGGTTGGGACTTCGCGGTTCAGCCACATCTAGTCCTCCAACAAGTTCTGTCCAGATCAACGTCAGTGGCAACTGGTTAGTTCAGAATAGGGTGCTCCTAAAAAGCAACAGGTTAATCATTATTTTCCACATTTAAACTGCTACGAGACAGGGTATTCACCATTTTCATCCTGGCATATTATATTGCTGGTTCTGTATGTGTGTATATATATATATGCATATATATATAAATATGTATACAACTGTATACATATACTTCAGGAGAAACAAAGTTTATGCTTCTTGAAAGCTTTTCGAAACATCCATCTCGGTCCACTGCGGATCACATTTTCAAGTCCCTTTAGTGTGGCAGGTGTGGGACGGTCAATTATCACCCTCTTTGAAATATATTATAAGATTTTAGAGCTTTTGGAGGGTGGAAATGCGACCGGGGTACGACAAAGCTCCATGCTAGGGTTTTACGGGGAAAGGTTGTGCAAAAGAAACGAAACATGTTCACTGTTCACTGTCGGAAGCTCAATATATCTATCCCACTACACTATATCATATCTAATAGGCCATATCCAGTGGCCTATGGTCGTTTCAATCCCCAGTTTTGTTGGTCCCCAATGGTGCCATGCCCGACCTGCATGGCAGTTGCCCAACACCAACGAGAACAGCTCTGCGCGCGCCGTGCCCAGCACCGGGGGGGAGAACTCCGCGCACGAAACGCTTCGCAGGGACGGGGTCGAACCTGGAGTCCGTGGAACCCACAGGAGTCAGATTTGGGGGGTTGCTAATGGCTACCCCTACATTATCCATTTATAGATTGGATTTTCAATTGTAAGCAGTCCAGCTATTGGGTACTACGTGGTGGTACCCATTTTTGGGAAACCAAAATAACTGGTGTTCATGGATGTTCCTTCCAAAAAAGGTCCCAGAAGTATTGACCCATCCCCAAATCAGCCGAACTAACATCCATTCCCCCCTTTTTCATGTACCACAAACGGGATCTGGAGCAACAGATTGGAGGTCCCAACCATCAAAATGGGGATGGGCACGTCTAACTTTCAACATTTTTCGATTGCAGATCCATTCAGTTAAAATTTAGAAAATAGATCCTAAGCTCCATATCTCCATAGTTGATGATTCCCCCTTTACATTCCCAATCATTCACTGATGTAATGAGGCCGCTTCCAAATCATCCAGAGATCCGCACCTGTTGCCACTGCATCCAAGACCAACATGCTGGGACCCAGCCGTGCAAGGCTATGCGCTGGCAACAAAGAGCCCAAGGAAACGCTATAGGCAACGCTGAGGGCTGCGAAACCTGATCTAAGTGGGTGGAAAATCAATGGATTGGAATATCTACAGGAAACCATGGAACATTCCAATGGATGAAGGTTTCCTGGCAACAAAAATACCTTCAACCAATCCATTGATGGAAAAGTCTTTTGAATTTTTGGTGATACCCGTGCATATCAGACCCATGAGGAAGCCCAGTATGGAAAGATGTTGGGTATGTAGATATATAGACCTTTGTATATGTGCATATTGCATGTGGAGCTCTTTTTTAATGGGACAAGCCCGATCGTATGGTATCAACTGTATTCAATAGTTGTTAGTGACTTGTTAATGACTGGTTGCTTTCACCCCTAAGTCCCAAATCATCAGGAGGGATTGCCTGATTTCCCACAATCCCCAAATTGCTGGAAAACACTTTTGGCTCAAAGTGATGCCACTGGGGTGACCAAAAAAAGGGACGACCCAAATGACTCCTGTTGACGGCAGCGGGTACGTATCTGGCTTCACAGGAGAGCCCCTCATTAGTTCGTCACACCCTCAACAAGGTTGGTGAGAGGAGATCATCAAAATCAAGAAACCCAACAGAAACACTCAGGATTGACTTATCCTTGGCATCTGTGGCCACTGCATCATTGCACCACCAAGCGGAATCCTGCCCTAGTGAGGATCCCTGTGAAATTCCTGTTCTTGAAAACCTTCACTGGGACATGTACCAACCTGTGATCACGGACGGGATTTCTCATTCTACATGTTTGTTGGTGTGTATAACAAGTGGGCTTCTCTCCTTTGGTTGTCACCCATGTCAATCATCCACTCAAGTGGTGGATTTTCATTGTAACTATGGGCTACAAGCTATAATCTTCTACCTCCCAAAATAGCTGCTACTGCGAAAACAAACCAGAAACATCTATAATAGTCCTTCAACTTTCCCAGCCATTCTGCCCCAAAATCTGTTGCTTTCCATCCCCACTGAAGCACCAGCGACTGGCGCAGGGATACACTGGAGTCGATGAATCTGAGCACGCCGAACCTCGCGAAATTTGGGGACCAATGCGCCAGATCTCGTGGTGTAAAAAAACATGAACTGCCTGGTAGTTTCGCACCATCCAAAACATGCTTGTCAAGAAACCACCATTAAACCATCATTAAACCACCATTAATCACTATTAATCACTATTAATCACCATTAATCACCATTAAACCATCATCATTGCAGGTAGAGATGATAAAAAACAAGAATGGTATTGATCATTCAAATACTAAAATCCTCCCCCAACCACTTAATTATTCCTTTGACCCCATTTTCCCTCCCGCTCTTCCCATTTTCTCCGTCCTTGCAGAAGTGGACTTGAACCAAGGTAAACAGCATCAAAGGTGGCCTCAGGGCTGGGTGGGGGATATAACACATATTACTTGGGTGAATCCAAACCGTCAGTTCTCACCTTGGGTACATCAAAATGGATTCCCACGATTTCATCGAGCCATGATCTTCTGAGACTACCACTAGAGATCCCATGCCCCCGAGATCTACCCATTGAGGCAACGAGTTGCTGGTGGAAAGCCCAGCTGTCCAAACGAGCGCGAAGATGCGGAGAAATTCAAGTGAACGAAATCCACCTGAATGCTGCGGATGATGGGATGGGAAAGACATGGGTAAACCAATCTTCTGGTAGACCATGGTAAACCATAAATTCACTTTCTGGTTGACACAAGATATATCAAGATATCAATGTCAGAATCACTTGTGCACTCTCCGCACTGACAAGCTGGGGGTTGTTTCTCAACAACTGATATTAGGCACTCGTGGGTGGCTATCGGCGACACCTCTCGACTTCGATTCGTTTCTGGTGAGGTTCCTGTCTATGCCAACCTTTTCAGCTAAAATCTGAGTATCACGCAACATGATGCCGATGAACTCTCTTGAAGTTTTCTTTAAACCTCCAATTTGGTTGTTCAAAAACACATCTTCAACCACACTTTCATGGGTCAAAACCACCTTTTTGTTGGTTCAAAGCCAAATTCTGCAGGTAAAAATGCTGAACTTCCTACTTTTGGTTAAGAAAAATATGAAAAAACATGAACTTACCATAATTTGCCATTCCCCCAGTGGGTTTTCCCCAGCAGTGGCCCGTTGTGATCCAGCTACGGCCAACGTCACCGGCTCCAAGTGGACAGGGCCCGGCAAGGACGTTGGCGAGTCGGCACGGGCGAAGCGCTGCGGGGACGACGAAACGCCCGGTGCGACGGAGCTGGGGACGGAAGACGACGCCTCAGGCGGAATTGAACATCTGGGGGATTTGATACTGATGTGTATAGATGATGTATATATATATATACACGTTTACACACACATATATATATGTATGTATGTATGTATATATGTACATACACATGTAAGTATGGATGTATAGCTGTATATATATATATCTACATATAATATCTATAGCATCATTAGTAAGTATATATTTAGGTCATTCTTGCGATCGAGGACGAAGAATCTTTTGGATGGTGTATGGCGAACCTGAAATGTTGGGCGATAAGCGGTTGCAAACACCACATGGTTCCCATTCAGTTATAAACGCCAAAAAGATGGAAAAGTGACTGAAAAGTCACTAATTCTTTGGCATTTTACCAATTTTACCTTTCTGGGGGGTTGATATGACTTACTCATTGGATCCCAGGATCAGCACATGCCAAGGCACGCCGATCTGAGCAGAGCTATGAAGAAATATCAAGGGCTCCATGTGAAGATGCTGCAAGGCCACTAGGAAGGAGTCCATCCGTAGCCCACCCGGAGGTAACATGAAGAACTCCAGTTGCATCAATCCCTTGAGAGCTATCGGGAAACCAAGATGGACATAGGAGAAGATCAACAGAAGAACTTCCAATTGGACGAAGCTATGTGCCGAGACCAAGAATCCCAAGTGACTACAATCCGCCACCGACAAAGAGCTGGAGAGCTCAAGTGCTCCACGAAGACTTCCCGCACCCAACACCAACAAGCTGAAGTCCAAATAGCTGAGATGCTGGGGTGAAGATGGCAACTCCAGGTTTGAGAAATCCAGGACCAACGTGGAGAATTCCAATCTGCTGAAGCTTTTTGGGAACATGGAACTGTCAGGATTGGCCACATCTGTCACAAAAATCGAGGAGATAGGGCCGAAAGTGGCCAAGCCTAGGACCAAAAGGAACAAGTCCAAACGACACAAGGAATGCAAAAACAAGCTGAAGTCCATAGTTGTGACATCCAGCACCACCAAAGATATACCAAATCTGGCAGCCCTGAAGCAAAACATGAAGGCCCTAGCTGTAGTATGGTTTTCAGTGACAACAAGAATTCCAACTTTGCAACTGCCAAGATCAGCAGAGAAAGTCCCAGCCTTGCACTTCCTGAAATCAAAGTTGACAGCTCCAGTTGTGCCAAGCTTCGCAAGATCATCAAGGTCTCCAGTAAACTCTCATGACAAACCAACACCAAGACCCCCAACTAAGCGAAACTTCGCAACAGGAGGGAGCTGCCCAGATGGCTGCTGCCCAGCACTGATGGAGAGGAGATAAAACCAACTCAGCTGATGCCCAATGGAAGTGACGGACTATCCAACTGACAGTAGGATCTGACGGAGGTCGAAGCGTCTGAGCTGACAAGGTCAGAGACCAACAAGGGGAGGTCGCAACGTGTGAAGCTGTGAATGGACACGGAAAAACCCGCGAAATTGGCATCTGAAATGGGTGGAAGGGTGTCCAATTAGGTAAAACTATGAGGTGGGAGCAAGGCATCTGGATTCACAGTATCTAGAATCAAGGATGGAACTTCCAGTTGAGCAGCACCGCACAAGAGCAACAGCAGATCCAGTTGAAGGAACTCTTGCAAGAACGCCAAGAAATCCAGTTGAGCACAGCCCGAGACAGACATCACTGAGCCAGTTTGGCTAGAGCTTCGTGGTAAGATGGCCAACTCCAGTTGAACGAGGTCACACACCAACAGCAGAAAACCACAGCAGGAGATTCCCAGCGAGGATGCCGAGCTGCCGGAACAAGAAGAGGATCTGGTAGATGGCACAAAACCGAGTTGCCCAAGACCCAGCACCAATAAGAAACTGCCGAAACAGGCAGAGGATCTCAAAAACAAAGAACTGCCTAGGGTCGTTGCTTCCCCAACTGGTAGTGCCACACCGATCCGACAGTTGCTCAGCAATGGCAGCAAGGACCCCGACCGAGTGGTGCTTTGGGGTGGTGGAGAAGCATCCGCGTGGAAGGTGTCAAAGGCTAATGACGCCAAGTCCAAATGGGCGGAACTGCGTGGAGGCAACGGAGAATCAAAGTAGACCTGACCACAGCAATGACATGTGAAATATGTGGAAAGCGTGATCACAACAATGACATTCTCTTGCGCACAAAATGCTGACTTGAATCCATCCACGGTAGAGCATGCAATCCGGGAATTTGATCTTACACTCATATGATTCAAGAGGTGGCTCGCAACTGCAGAAGGTTGTTTGAAGCTTTCAAACTTCACAAATCATCCTGAAACAAAAGTCAAAGTCTACATTGCCATAGGTCAGCAAGATATTCCACAAAAGGGACCTCAAGTATAGCATATCTCTGGATTCATCTACATTTCTACATAAAGGAAATACATCCACAAACATATACAGTGATACAAATATATACAGCTGATGTCCGTGGATCCTTTTCATATAGGTTGCTTGAAACAGCACCATGCTGCTAAGGTGCATCGTTGAAGACCGAAAGCGTGTTCTGAATCCCAGTCTCCTCGGCAGGCGATGAATCTATGTCGACAATTCTTTTGAACCGAGGTGCTAAGATCTTTACAGCACTTGCCATGTGAAGCCATTTTTGGAGGTCATGAGGCCTGTGAAAGATGATGTAGTTCTATAGGGTGAACCTTGGTATCTATTCTGGGACCCCTTCTAGACCTATAATGAGGGCCATAGCAAGGATCATATCCCATAGTTCCCAATATTTTGAACAAAATCCATCTGTTTCGGTCTGTCTCAACAAGGATACCCCAACTTCTAGCCATATAATGGGGAACATGATTCTCAAACCCATGGGATGGAATGGGGTACCACATTTACAAGGCAACCGGTCACGGCAACTGGTCGGGGCTCCTTCTTAACGTGCTTTGTCCACATTTATCAATTTTATAGCAATCAACCTCCCGGATTTGTGGGTAAGAACACCAGCGTCATTTTGATGGTTGATCTGCATATATATTTGTATCTATATATATATGTATATACATATATATATATGTCTATATATTATATCTACATATCTACATATCTACATACTACAGATTTCCTCAAGGCTGTTTTCCATTCCAAGGGTCCAGGCTCACAGCACCGTAGAACAACACCGAGGACCCGGAGCACACGAAGGCGTGCACCGACGACGGGGGTCCCAGGTGCTGCGCGTCGAAGGGCGACGGGAAGGGCTCCACACGGGCGACGCTGTGCGCAGGGGTCGAAGGGCCCAGGTGCACGGCGGAAAGGGCCGAAGGGGACGGGGCAAGACGGGACAGGCCACAAAGAAAGGTGGAAAAATCCAAGTGTTGGGAAGATTGAAGGAATGAAGTGAAATCTGAGTGGATAAAATCAGAAGCAGATAAGGAAGTGGCTGGGTGGGAGAAACCATGAAGCGAGACTGAAACTTCCAGAGTTGCCATGTCCAAAATGGAGACGGTAAAACCAACCTGGGATGCAGGTGCCCTGACCACTGGCTTCACGAACAAGGTAGACAATTGCCTCTACAGTCACCCAACATTCCAAGCTGAGATCTTATGAAATCCCCAGTTCGTCGTCCATCCACAACTAATTTTTTCATACCTTTCAAAAGAGCCTATTTTGATAGTCAAAATCACGTTCTTCCTAATTTTTAAAACTTCTTCGTTTTTATCACAGGCTAAATCTGCCATTTTCCAAAATTTTTCCTAGCCAATTCCCCTTTTTTCCTCCGGCCACGGAACTCACATGCTTCCTGAGGTCGATGTGGCAGCTTCCAGGTGCGCGAAGCTTCGCAAGGACGACGTGGAGCCCGTCGAAGCAAAATCCAAGGTTGGCGGAGATGGGTCCAACCTGCGGTCTGAAGTTACTGTATCGAATTCCAAAATAGATGGATTTAAGGTAAGATCCTACAAATATGGTGGTTCCCTGCTGTTTGATCGTTTTTTTGGGTTACTATATTGCGAACCCACCAAAACAATCGAACACATACGTTTACCACAGCGTGAAACTGTGCTATTCCAAAAAAAGGTTACGTTTGAGGACTTATGGACGCTTTGCCACTGGTATAGATATTAGGGAAAGGAGCAAGAACCATTTTGGAAATAATTTACCCGCAAGAACAGGATAGAAGGGGATACAACCAAGAAGGATATTGTAATCCAAATCGGGCCCCAATAGATCTACAAATGGTTTTAATTTCTTACTGCCGTTCCCTTGTTGTGGTCGAATGAGCCATGGTCAAATAAGTTGCTTGTTGGCATTCCGGTTCCCACGGCGGTCTCCATGTAGCTGGTTGGATTTTGCCATGGCAACTGCATCCAATGTCTTCAAGATGCTTAAATTCATGGCGCTGTCATAGCTTACTATCCATCAACATCAAACCAGGAGGCCCAGCTTCTCCCTTCCTATGTTTTCCAACCTGGCGGGGCTTCTCAACGACATCGAAACACCCATGGTGGCAACGCCCAGCACCGGAACGATCGCATCAAACTGGGCGTTCCTGAGACGATTAACAAAAATGGCTTGGCCTCGAAAAAAACATCTCTAAATGTAAGCACAGGAAACTAACATCTATCAAATTATTCAAATTCTTAGCCATGGTGGGTTCCACAACGCGGGGTTCATAACTGCCTTGGATTTTGTGAGAACAAGGATCCCGTATGTAGCTGGAGTCTGCAGTCCACGTCCATCAAGTCTTCCAACAATCTCCAGCAAAATTAGGGTCCAATATGATCCAACCATGTTCAACAGTCCAACACATCTACAGTCGTTCTCATGTCACCCCCTCCACCAACCCCAACCACGATCTCGAACGGCCCAAGTGGCCCAAACACCAAAGGCAATGGCTCCAAGCGACATGCGGCTTGCAAGGACAACGAAGAGCCTCGGAAAAATCGCATCTCGAAGCCGCCCATCCCTGGATGGGGATATCACGACTTGCTGGTTGGGGCTTGAGCAACCCCAAAAAACATGAAAATAACGATAAGTTATCTGGTTGGTGGTTTTAACCATCTTGACAAATATGAGTCAATGGGAAGGGTTATCCCATATATTATGGAAAATCAAAAATGTTTGAAACCACCAACCAGTTATGTTAAGTGTATGTAAATGACCATAGTTCATGTAAATGTAAATTCCTATCATGATTTTAGCCGTTTGAAATATGCACAAATTTGCTGGTTGGTGGTTTCAACCCCTCTGAAAAATATGAAAGTCAGTTGGGATGATTATTCCCAATATATGGGAAACAAATGTTCCAAACCACCAACCAGGGATGTTCATGGGTATGATGTTACATCAACTGATCCACCAGCATTTATTCATGATGAGATCCTAGTGGTTGCAGGATAAACCACCTTTTCATTGCCAGTCTCAGCTAGCCTACAACTTGCCGTGGCTGAGATGGGCTACATCCCCATCAAGATGGCAAACACATGTACTGAACTATCCAACAAGTCGCTTTCCGCAGAGATATCATTCTCCAAGCAACATTTCAAACTTCTTCAACCGGCTATGCTTGAACCCTGATCCAGCTGGATTTTCCAGATCTGGTTTCATCTTTGAATCCCATATCATTTCCATACAAATTCCACATATATAGTTTTCATAGAGTTCCCATTATCATCCCAATTCCACATAAATTCCAGATAATCCCCCATTCTACTCCCTATCAGAAATCTACTATCATCTCCACTAAGTCCCATAGAAATCCCATAAAAATCCCTACCACTCAGTGGAAACCACCTTGACCCAAGTAACCAGAGCTGGTGCACTGGAAAACCACCAACAAAGCGTCCAACTGTGCAAGGCTCCGTGGGGACGGCAAGGCTTCCTGGAGGATGGTACAAAAAACAGCATCGAACATGGGCGGACAGTACCTGGTAAACCAACTTTTCAAACGATGGACAAATCATAATTTTTAATAGGTAAATCAACCAAATCCCCATTTCTAATGGGTAAATCAACGAACTACATGGATCTAAATGAACCATTTTCAATAGCTATGTTAATTATGTTAGTTTACGAGAGCGTCACCAGGAAAAATGGGGATATCATTGAGAGATATCCACCAATATCTGGCGTCCAGGGATGACATTACAATGCTTAACTGGGATTAATATTACATTGATGAAACTGTCAGAATTGATAGGTATAAACAAATGGATACAACTTCACAAGAATGCCATTATTGGTTGGTGGTATACCTACCCCTCTGAAACGCATGAAAGTCAGTTGGGGTTATTACTCCCAATATATGGAAAAACAAAAAATGTTCCAAACAACCAACCAGATTACATTGATGAAAATGTCAGAGTTGATAGGTATTGATTTATTGATACAACTTCACAAGAATTGGGGTTTATATCTTGTAAGCAATAGTTACAACCATATGGCTCTGAACATGGGGGATGAATAACCAACAATTTATTGGGATATAACGGGATATATCGCCATCAATGTGATATTTGGGTGTGTCTGAATATGGTATACCCCAAAACTGAATTCTAAATTGATGACATGATGATTCAATATCAATTTTCAATGTACCACATTTTCAAACAAAGCCTAACAGAATGGAACTGGGATAGCTACAGACACCCTTCACATGTTCTTAAAACGCGGATGGGATGGCTGCAGCAGCTACAACTGGTGTCCGAGATTCCGTCGCGGCCAAATCCGAGACAAACAGCGACGTCATGAGCTGAGTTCCAAGAGTTGCCATGGGAAAACCCAGTCCTGCAGCAAGACATCGGTGTTTAAGTCGACAGGTTGTCAAACTGGAACTGTGGGATGATGCGCAGCTTTTTACGAGCACACCATCCAGGCTAAATCCCCGAATTGGAAAACTCGAACCTCCAACAAATCCATCAAAAATCCATCAAAAACATCCATAGATATCCATAAATCATAAATTCATGAAATCCCCATCCATGAAAAAAATCGCAACAGGCCCCTGGCTTGACCGGTTCACCATTGGAGCAAGGCGCAGCTGGGAGATCGCAAGGACAAGGCTGGGCCATGGCAACCAGGGTCCAGGACCAAAGATGAAGGACCCAGCTGTGAAGGACCTGAAACATACCAAAAAACCTGGGAAAACAGCTGGACACTGGAACACCTTCTTCTGGGAACTGACACGTGATGATTTGTATTGATTTTACTAATTTATGAGAAATTCCACAAGCGATTTGAGGTTGGACGATTTTCACAATGTAAAATTGCAGCTTTGTTTTGAGGTCGCTTGGGGTTTTCTGCAAGCTATCACCATGTGGTTGGGTGGACACTAGTGGTACTTTGGGTTGAATGGAAAATCAGTTGTCGGTTAGATCGGTCCCTACATGAAAAGTCCGACCAAGATTTGATAGACAGGCTATCAAAAGACCACTCCATTTTCATTTTTTTTTCCAAAGTCCCGCTCAACCACCACATCCCTCTGTGATCACCAGGGCTTGTCTGAAAATAAGGTACCCCCCAATGATGAACCATCATTTTCCTATATTTTCATCATTTCTCAATGACCATTTCGGGGGGCACCATTCAGACACCAAATCCAGCGCGGAACCCTGCGAAGACGACGTGCTCTCCACTGTGGTGAACTCTAAGACCGACAAGGGAAGTCCAAGGTGCCTAGACTTGTGGATGCATCAATGTCTTCCACGGAGCTATCTATCTTATCTATGTTATATGGGATGATGATCCATCTATCTTATCTATCTATCTTATCTATCTCATCTATCTCATCTATCTTATCTATCTCATCTATCTTATCTATCTTATCTATCTTATCTGTCTATCTATCTATCTTATATATCTTGTCTATCTTATCTATCTTATCTATCTTATCTGTCTATCTATCTATCTATCTATCTACCTATTTATCTATCTATCACTCAATCAATCAATCAATCAATCTATCAATCTATCAATCTATCAATCTATCAATCTGTCAATCTGTCTATCTGTCTATCTATCTATCTATCTATGGGATGATGATAGACCATCAACTTTGGGGAGAGCCTATCTTCATGCAAATATTTTTATACAACTGGAAATCACCATCATGCTCAAATCCCCGTTCTTTGCGACTAGTTCTCATTGTTTTCGCTTAAATCACCATACCAATCCAAACGTTGGTATGTCTCGAAATTTCATACCTCGACCCCCAGGGTTTATCATAATTCAGCAACGAGAATGACACATTTTTGGAGTATTCCCCTTTGTTGAGACGGACCCATCTCAACTATGTCTATTTGGGGGTGCATCCCAGTAACTGGGTAATACCAACTCTAGTATAGCCCAGTTCTAAATGGAATATCAATGAATATCCCTAGTCATATCTAGCAACTTTCGATATACAACACCTGGGATTCCATAATTTTTCATGGCTTATAAGCCACTTACCACCGAATTTTCCCCAGCCGACCATGGCCCCCCAAAAGGCCGTCCAGGTGCAGTTTACCCAGCAGCAGCAGCCCCAGCTCCAAACGTGCAGCGGCGCGCGACAACGGGGAGACGTCTGAGTGGGCCAAATCGCAGGCAGACGATGTCGGGTCCAGGTGGAGGAGACTTCGCAAGGACCTGGCGCATCCAAGGGTGAAGCCTGATATAACCTGTATAACTGGGGATATCCATCGAAAATGCATATCATAAAAAATAGGCAAATACAGAAAATACCAAAAATCACACATATTATGACATACAATATAATAACTATATAATAACTATTTAATAACTATATAATAACTATATGTATATATATATATAATTAATATCTAACTGGGTGAACTGAGATGATTGTTAGCCACGGTGGGTCATCCCTGGTCATTCTGGGATCATCTTTTTGAGGTGAGGTCGCTATGTTTTGTTGAGATATGGGGATAGTTGAGATATCTTGGGTTTATACATGTTTATAACGGTTTATACTTATAGATATGCGATTGCTGGTATCCCCATATCCCATCAGATGCCCAGTTTTGGTGGTTAATCCCAGGTATTTTGCGATTCTTCCACCAAGATGAAGCATCGCCAAGTAACATTGAAGGCTCCATATGAACAGCATCCAAAGTCGACGTGGCTACAGCTGATCGACATCTTCCCGAGGAAAACAAGGAAAGGTCCTGGGAGAAATCCGTTGATGGGCTATATCAACATCACCTTTTTGAGGGTCTTTACTACCATTTCCCAACCAAAAACGGTTGATCCCTTAAAAAAGTGTGGAAATAAAAGGATGAGCCTGGAGAATCCAATCATGATGGTTCGACACAGACATGAACATTGAGAATCTTACATCTGCAAAGGGCTTAATCTCGAGCTAGTTGGTCTATTTTTCCATTCCCGTCCAAACATTACCCTACCCTGCGGGCGAACACAACTTGGGTATGCTTGGTGCTTGAGACACCCCAAAACTATGAAACACCAGATCATCATGCCAGTCAGACCCAGTCAGCATGGAAGGTATCTGACATCACCATTGGATCTACACCAAGACTGCATGGCAACAGGGACGCGTGCTCACCAGCGTTCTATGAGATCTTTACTTGTTTGTTGTTGAAAATCCCGTTGTGGTTGCTTTACCCACCATCTTTGATGGTTAACCCCACCATATTTTTCTGGGTCAAATTACATAATTGCTGGGTAAAATCCAATCTTTGCTGGCTAACCCCCGGTTGCTTTACCAATCAAACTTGACGTTTTGATGTCAACCCTGGACTGATAAATCCTGATTGATTAAGCTGGGGTCTACCCCCAAAATAGGTTTCAACCAAAATTGGCAATCCCACCAATTAAGCAGCTTAGGGGTTTACTTATCCCAGGTCCTAGTTTAACATTTACCGATATGGTTTCAACCCTTTGTAGATCATTTTCCGAATGGGTTTCACCAATGTGTTTTCCACATTGATGTAAACGTTTTCAAGATGGGGCCCCCAAGATAGCTAAGTTGAGACATAAGTGGCTTCACTATAGTTTATGGTAGATATAACAAACACGTTAATGAGGCTTAAAAACCAACTTATAATTGGGGGGCACCATCCTGTAGGGTATTTCACCAATGTGTTTTCCACATCTATGTTAGTTTACCCTAGGGTATCAGCTTTTTATATCCCAAGGTTCCAAGTGTACCATCTGCTGCAGCAGCACCGACAACTCCATGGATGCCACGCTTGACGCCGACGAAGCCGAGGCCAGGCGTGTGACGCCACGGGCAGAGGAGGAGAGGCCCAGAGTCGCAGGATCCAAGACGAACGGAGAGAAGTTCAAGTGCACGGCACCTGAAAGCCGAGGTGGCTATGAATTAAAACAATGATTAAATTACTGGTGCTAAACCTAGGGTTGCTGGATGGGTGGCTGGGGGTTACTGGGATGATTCTTACTAGTGATTGTGGATCATTCCCTCATTGCCTGCTAAGCACTAGTAAGTTAAAAAGTAAGGTGAACACACCACAATATGGGAAAGGAGGGATGTTATATCCCAAAGATGGGGATAGCTTTGTTCCCTATGTCTTTGGGAGATTTTGGATGAAACCATTGAGATTTCCAATGAAAACCGCCCACATAGCTCGTCCCTCAAGGTCACAAGAGTGGGCTGAAGGATAGTGCCAACATTCATCTGGAGGTTTCCTAAAATGGTCCATTTTCGTCGAATTTTCGTATTCAAATCCATGGTGACTTGGGGATACCCTCTGGTAAACAGCCACATAACTATGGAAAATCACCATCTTTAATAGGTAAATCAACCATAAACGGGCCATGTTCAATAGCAAACTGTTAAATTACCAGAGGGTACTCCATTTTAACAACCCTCCCATCTATTCCCTGAAGTCTTGGCAGCTTATACACCCACCCCCAGGAGAAGGTTTGCGACCACTTTCAGCTACCTCCAAGACTCCCAGCAAAATGTCCGAAGATCTGCAATTTCAGCTGGATTTGGGGGAGCTTCATGAAACCCCCAAATCAACCATATCCCCATGATATTCCCATGATATTCCCATGATGTGTTCATTGTATCCTTACTATATCCCCATGACATCACTACTTGGTGGTTGAACCAACCCCACTGGATCATCATCCCAACTATTGGGGAAAATAAAAATCATGTTCCAAACCACCAACCAGATCCTTATTGTATCCCCAAATCTCTCGTTTCTTCTACCGTCTGAAGACCCCTTCCTTCGTCTATGAAGCAGCGAGGCACCTGATACAGCTGGAAACAGCTCTGATTGTGCGAGTTGCCTGGCGCACCAAGGCATTCCGACAAGGTGGGTATCCCTTATCCGATAGCTAAGTTGGTTGAGCTGACTTGGTTAACTTGTTTTTTTTTTTTAAATGGCAGCAAGAACTAGAGTCAAATGGGATAAGCCAACAAACATAAATTGGGGGACCCACTATTGTAGTGATGCCCAATAACCGGCACAGAACTTGTGGAGACATCAAATTTACTGAGAATCTTGGGCTCCTGGTTGATAGGCATCCCTATGCTGGGTGACCATGATCTCGATAGATCAGGAAGTATAAGCTCCCCAGAGAACGAATTATGTAACCGTGGTATTTTTGGTTCATTTGTTGTCAGAAAATCGAGGAAAAGCAGCGCATCAATCACATGGGCTGAATTACATCAATATCCCAATCCACAAAGATTGACTGTTGCTGAAACATCCTGTTAAATCATTCTTTCCGGTCAAAACCTTCGGTTTTTACGACAACTCCGGTGTTTCGTGTCAGTCGTCAGGTTTTCAATGTCCGCCAAGGTGCTGCAGGGACACGGAAGAGCCCACAAGTGCTGCTCCCAGAATCAATGCCTGGAGTATCAGTAAGTTATTATTGATAGGATTTGATAGGATGATATGTACCAGGAACTTACCTTACTAACCATGGGGATTTATATCTTGAATATCCAGATGGGTATAAGAGGTGGTTTCAGGCAAAAGCGTGATGATGTCTTACTGGCAAATATGGTGGTACACTAGATTGAAATAGAAAGGAATAAGCAACATGCACAGTGGTTTGTTCAGAAACGGAGAAAACAGTACCAATGTCACAACCAATATTGGATACCCTCCATTCACACCATATGAATGGTATCTGAATAATCCCATTTTGTAGCCAACCATGAAGCCGTTCCTCAACCATTTACCTTGCCGTTCACTTTTTACATTGGACTTCGGAGGATAATAGAATTAGCGTTTTTGGATGTTTGTGGCGTATCCTCCAATGTGGTACACCAAAAAATATATCGTACTGAATCTCAGGGTTTCTAAACCTGCAAGCATGCGCTTTGATGTTGGAACTTCCCCACATGAACAATACCAAGTTTCAGAATTTGGGAGGTTTTACAAACCAAGTCTGGCAAAGCCACGATAGGACCCAGTCGAGCAAAACTTTGAAGAGGCCTCGGCACGCGGCTCGATTTCGAAAGACATGTTCAGTAGACTTATCAATGTCAAAAGGGGTCCTTTTGTTCCTTGCAGGGTCAGTATGGGAGTATGACATCAAGACTTTGATCTTATTTATTCGCAGAGGAAGTTGATGTAAGTTGTTGAGATCACAAAAAATCTGCCTGGAAACAATTCATTCCAACATGGATGTCATAGGTCACCACCACCACGTCAAGATCCCTCGAAGGAAGCGGAAGGTCACTACATCTGATCATCTGAAAGGATCAGCTCTAAACCACACAGAACTTATCTGGTAGATCATTTTCCCACCTTGTTTTGTTTTTTCATCCTCCTTGTTGTACCCCCTGGTAAACTAACATAGCTATGGAAACATCATCATTTTCATAGGTAAATCACCTATAAAATCAGCATTTCCAATAGAAAACCGTTCAATTACATGGTCAATCAGCCAGATACCCTGCAAAAACATTTTTTTAGCTGGTTAGATAATCCCATTGATACTGAAAGACTAGTTAGGATTAAAGTTGCCATCCAGTCGATTGACCTAGATTACCAGCGGCGAATTTCCCTTTCCACAGCTGTCCCTGATTTGGCAAGCGACATCGGTGCGCCCATGGTGGTGACGTCACAAACAAACAAGGTGACCAGCGAGTCAACGCGACAGAGACCGAAGATAGGCACCTAGACATGGCCGGGAACCGGCAGTTGCCACGTTTTTTCAATTGGGAAAGCATAGAAAGATATGGAAACTCCGCGGATGTACCAGAAAATGAAATCTTTTTATGGTGGATTTTGCGTAGCACTATGAATTTATTTGTGAGGTGGCTAGCAGACCATGCTGTTTGTTTTTGTTTTTAGACTTTCATAACTGGGCCCCATCAGTGTATGAAGTGCTTGATTTGAGAGGAGCAATCGTCTCCAATAGTCTTTTGGACGTAACGTACTGTTTTAGGTGTTTGGAAAATAACCCAAACGGCATCGTGCAGCCAACAGGAATGGTGGTACATTTGACAAAAATGGCTGTTTCCCAACACCGGAAAACACCAACAGATGGGAAAAACCCACGGTTTTGCGTCAAGATGACCTGCAAGTATAAAGTCGATTCACCCATTCAACTGCACATTTCTCCACCAGCGTCTAATTCGCCTACCAGGCACGGATGGTTCCAATCTGGCAAGAGCTCGAGTCAGTAGGAAGAAGTCCAGGTGCACAGCATCCAAAGTTGGAGGGGATGAACCTGGGATGTCAACATTTTTGCTGCACTTTTTGTGGAGATTTCTGACATGTTGGATGTCAACATCTTAAAGAAATACGGTTTGGATACTGGTTTAGAACATGATTTCTCCATGAAACATGGGTCTTTGATGCTGTTTGGGCATCCAGTTGAGACAAACCTGAATGATCTTCTACCAGCGCACAGCAATGGGAGAACCTGTGGGGGTGGATGGCCTCAGCTATGGCAGCAGGCATTGCTAGCGTCAGTTGCTTCACCCATTTGGGATTCCATGTTTTGCAAGACCATTTTCCCAATGCTAATAGCCATCAAAATAGGGGCACATCCATCATTTCGGCATCAACCCAAAAATCATCTCGTTGATTCTACATCTATAAATCATAATAAATCCATCATATATCCCACCATATCCCTCCAAAACCACCATTTTTCCCATATTTTTTGCAGCCCAAGGTGCCCAACTTCATCCCAGCCATCGGCATCAGCGGCTCCACTCGTCCCACGGCCCGCAGCAACGGCGACGACCCCAGCTGCGCCAGGTCCAAGGCCGGCGGCGCGGCGCCCGAGCGCAGCAAACCCCGCGGCGACGACGACACGCCCGGCTGGGCGAGGTCCACAACGGAGGGCGAGGGGTCTGGGCGACTGAAGGATACCTGGGATGGGAAGACATGGTGATGATGTTTTGATACATATACACATACATATACATGTATCTATGTATATATAATATATATTTGTATATATATATATGTATATATGTATCTATATATAATATATTTTGACACACAAATAATTAATATATACAGTATATATATATATGAAATCCGGGTTCTGTTATGAATTGTGTTGATAAGGAGATTTAAAACAGGACTTGAGATACATTTACTTGATTTTAGTTTTTTCTCAAATGGTTTAGACTGTTTTTGTTCCCCGCGGATTTAAAATGTTTTTCCCCCATAAAAGAGACATTCCCATTAGCGGTTTACAAGCCGTTTACAAGCCATTGAACTAAGCCATGTAAGCCATTCATCTGCGGATTTTTTTTTCTGGCACCATCCCAAAGCTACCGCTTGGTAGGATTGCCCAGCAGTTGTTTTTAGGCCTCTTCCGAAGCATCATCCGGTTATGCCAAAATCTATGGAATCTCCCAAGCTATTCGTAGTTTCATGATTAAATCACCATTAACATGAATCAACTAGGCAGAAAGTCAATGTGGTTATGGATCAACACATATCAAACTAGCTGGTATTCATGCATGTTCATCCTCCATGTTCAAAAAAAGTTTTGACCCACCCCCATCATGTCAGACCCCCTGCGCTTAGCTCAGCCACTGGCAGCAGCGCGGCTTCCAATCGCATGCGACCCTTCAACAACGACATGAGCTCCGATGTGGCAAAGTCCAAAGCAATCAGTGGCGAGTCCAAACGAGCAGAGCTGCGTGGTGAAACGGTGAAACCAAGGTGCACAGCATCCAGGGCTGGGAGGGGAAAATCTGATTTCAGGCTGCTGATGGGTGACAACAGTATATCCAAACATGAGAGATGTTGTGGTGACAATGAAATCTCTAGAGATGCGCAGTCAAAGGTGGAGGTGAATGGGTCCGTGTGTGCAGAAGACTGTGGGAAGGTTGTGAAGCCCAAGCTTGCTGAATCAAAGATGAACAACGCAGACTCCAGAACACTGCGACCGGATAAGCTCATTGAAAAACCCAAATATGCAAGGCTCTGGAGAAATGTCAATGGTCCTGAAAGGCAAACATCGAAGGCAAGGAACTTCAAACCAACTTGAGAAACACCTCGTACTGACATTGAAACTTCCAAGGTCGCTGCACCCAAAATTGGAAGGGCTACATCTATTCGAACACCACCAAAGGTGAATGGAGGCACGTCTGATCATGCAAATCTCCGTGATGACGTCAAGGATTCCAAGCTAGAGGTGCTGAACGCCAGCAGCAGTAAACCCAATCAGCTAGAACTCTGAGGGGATGTGAAGGGATCCAACTGGACAGGATCCAAAGGAAACACCAAAGGCTCCGCACACGAAGCACCAGAGATGGACGCTAAAAGGCCTGTGCGTGCCATGTTTTGCAACAACAGGCTGGGATCAAATCCGGTGAGGTCCGAAATCAAGACCAAAAAGTCCAAACGCACAAGGCCATGTGCAGACATTGAAGCGTCCACTTGAGCAAAGTCCAGGATGAGAAGAAGGGAACTCCTGAGGACAGGGGATGTGGCCAATGGCAAGGAGTGAAAGGTTGAGGCCGAAACCAAAGTAGCAACTAAAACGTATTTGGGTCTATCCAAAATCCATCCAATGGACTATCGTCAAATAATGCTATTGAATGGTCATAACTTTGGGTACCCCACAGAAATGCATATCCATTTCTCTTGGGTGAAAAGACATCACGTACATGGCTCCTGGCCACAATTTTGGGGACCAGAAAACAATGGTTCCAACTTTGTGTCCTCGGGCTTCATTCAACAAAAACAATCATTGGTGCCAGGATGTGCCAGGCATATCGACCCAACTAAACATTCGAGAGGTCTGCTGGGATCATCGATACCTGGTTATAAGCCTCCAAGGTTGGCGCCAAAAGCTTTCCGCTTTCCCTTACTAACATCTTGATACCTGACCTTTTGATCAATTAGCCTGGTTCAAGACTTAAAATCCCCGATTTTCTGTGGCAATCGGTATTTGTTGTAGATACCCCCATTACTGATTGATGAGCCCCGATGATCATTGGTTGGCTACCCCATATGTGTCACATCATGTCCCAGTTGGCTACCACCTACTAAATTCAAGGATGATTCCTCTCAAACAGACTTATCATCTTTAGTTTTGGTTGATCTTTGAAAGTCCAAAAACACATTTTTCAACCAGTTTCTCAACCAGTTTCTCTCCACGCCCACCAGCTCCAAGCTTCATTTTCGCCGCACCCAACGTTGCGAATGGCACCCCCAAACGCATCCCACCCCGCGACGGCAGCGGAAGCCCCGAGCACGCGACGTCCGGCGCCAACAGCGACGACTCCGACTGCACGAAGCTCCGCGGAGACGAGGAGAAAGCGAAATTGGCAATGCTTTGGACGGACAAGGCGTGAAGGCCTGGTGGGAAGCTGAAGGTAATCCAGCCAACATGAACATGTTGAGTGTGTACCAAAAGTTGGAGGCTTACAATGAAAATTGGGGCCAGAAGTCAAAACAGTACTCCAAATCTGGAAGTTTGAAGAGCAAATACGGATCTGACCAAATATGAGGATGCTTGTTCCCAACAGTTCCCAAGCAAGTCAATTGGCGGCAGGACCAAGAAATGGGAAAAGCTTGCGAACCTGCAGAATTCTTTTTGTTCTTTGCGCAAAAAACATATTTCCCCATCAATACGGCAACAAATCACTCCGGTTAAAACAAATCGTTGATCTGGAGGAATATCATCAAAATAGACTTGTTGGGTGCAGGTGGCCCCAACATGTAGATTTGGATCAAAATTCAGTGAAACCGTTAAACCCACATCATTTTTTTTGTCTTAAAGAAATTCGTTGTTTGTGGGGTCCGGGCCTTCAAGCCAGTAGCCTGTGAGATCGCATAGCTTTTGCAAACCAGGAAAGAACTGTTGAAGAAACAACAAATGAACTATATTGATCTTGCCAACCACCAAATCCGCATAACCCCACAAAAAGCATGCAAATCCGAAGTGCACTCCACCTTTGGATAAACGACCTGCCTTCGAAGTTGGTTGAGCCGCAAGCGAACAAGTAGGCGCCAATGTAACACCTTGGATATTGGATAGTACTACGACAGGTGAGGGCAACTAAGTACCGTACTTTGTCTCCAAGATTTCTGAGGCTCAAGTGAATTTTACAACACCAGTGGATTTCCATCCCACACTGAAAAGAATGAGAGAATTTGGATCCCTCGACTGTATTCTCAACCTCTGAAGTCCAGAACCATCTTGTCGACCAAGTCAAAGCTGTGGGAACCAAATGCCCGAGCCAAAAAATGTTCGTGCCTATCTGCATGGGTATAGATTCCTATCGATTCAGAATATATGAATGCTTGTCGATTTCCGTGAGCAACTTCTTAGAATTTGTACATCAGAATCAGATGTCACCAGCAACACCGATGTCCAACTCTACCTGAGGCCACAGCAATGGGCCACAACTACCTGCACCGTTTTTTTAATGATGATCTCTTCATATCTTGATGTTCAAATCCTCATTGTTGACTGAATACCATTATCTTTCAAACGTCAAGTCTCCAACTTCTCATCCTTAACTTACCCTTAACACATCATTTTTCGCTTCTTGTTGTTGTTGTTGTTGTTCAATTTTCCCATTCTGGCCAGTAAAACGATCCCATTTGGAGGTTTCCTAAAATAGGGGTACCCCGAATCATCCCTTTTACTTGGATTTTCCATGAAATAAACCATCAAGCTATTGGGGTGCCCCCATGTTAGGAAAATACCCATTTTTCCCATGACCTCCCCACAAGATGGTGCCCCCCTCAATTATAAGTTGGTTTAGAACTCCCATGAACTAGTTCGTCATATCTACCATGCTAGTTAAGCCACTTATATCTCAACTTAGCTATCTTGGAGGCCCCTGCATCATCCATTTTAATAGGATTTTAATTGGATTTTCCATGAGATAAACCATCCAGCGATAAAGGGGTACCCCCATTTTAGGAAATCCCCATTTTTCCCATGGCCCCTGCATCCGAGTCACCCAGCCCTCAATGGCAACGACGCGCCCGGATTCACCAGATCGGACGCCAGCAACGACGAGCCCAGGCGGCAGCTGCGCAACGCAGGCAGCGGCGGACCACAGCGCTGCAGGGCGCGGGGGGACGACGGGGAGCCGCAACGGGTGAAGTCAGAAGTGGATGGCGAAAAATCCTGGACAAGGCGCTCTGATGGGAAAATGATGGGAAGAATCATGGGACGTGTTTACTAGAGTACTAATATGTACTAATTATTTAAGTCCTGAAAGATCTTGAAAGTTGATGAACATGAACTGTGGCTGTTCTTAGCGGAAGGATCAGGGAATTGGCCCAGAAACTGGATCTGATTTGAAGTCGTTTTCCAACACCAGTGATATTTGGGGTTGCAACCCAAAAAACAAAACACTTTTGGAGAATCAGTGGGAAGGGAAGTTGGGGATACTGGAACTGGAAACTCAGTGGAGTCACCAAGATGCAGCGTCTTTCCTATGTGAAACATCCGCGAACGTATCACAAATTTACATGGATTTGAACAAGTATCTTGAACAAGCTTGAACATGCACATTTTCAGAATTCAATTTCTTAGTCTATCAACTGTCAACTCTTCATCACCTAAAGTTCCGGTTCTCGGTCAATAAACCCTCCCCTACACTTGTACAATTTCGCATTCCACAAGTCGAGAGAGCAGATGACACTCAGCTAACCAGCAACTTCCGTCTGTCAAGTTTTGGCCACCTTCTTGGAAAATCATACCGCTTCTTGCAGACCGTGTGGCTATGACCTATTGATCAATAGTAAAGCCCAAAAGGCAGGGACTTCCTTTGGTTCCCAACTGCAAAGGAAGATCCCCTCGCATCCGAACCCTCCCATTCGTCTTGATTCTCTCCCAGTCAGCCTCTTGAAATCAAAACATCGCAATGGAACACCAATTTCTCAAGCAGTAAAGCATCATCATTCATCTACAAATGGTTACAAGGTGATGCCCCCCAGTGATGTTAGTTGGTTAACAAAAGCCCCAGTAACTAGTTCGTTATTTGTGTACCATAAACCAGAGTGAAATTGGAGTTATTTGCACCACCTTAGCTATCGTGGCCGGGGGCCTCACATTGTATGGGGGTTAACCAGGTCAGATCAAAAAATCCCAGGCTCCATCCGAACATGGCTCTGCGTTGATGCTGAAACTTCCAGGTGAACTGCGCCCGAAACTGACATCGTGGACTCCAACCTGGCCCTTCCCACGGGTGTCATGGAGACTTCCGACCAAGCAATGCTTCGGAGCAAGGGAGGTGACTCTGAATGGACGGTCGAAAAGGCTGAGCATGGCACGTCCAAGTGCCCAAAGCTTTGTGAAAATGGGGACAAATCCAAAGATACTCCATCCAACACCAGCAGGAGCAGGTCCAATCTCACAGCATTCATCGGTATCATTGGAAGATCCAAGCAACAGAAACTCTGCAATAGCGATGACAAATCCAAGGAGGTGAAACTGAACACTGGCAGCAGGAAGTCCAAGTGCCCAATGTTTCGCAATGACACGGTGAAACCTAGGAAAACCACATCTAGAACTGATGGACTGCAGCCCAGCTGTGCTCCAGAAATGGATGGGGTGGATCCTAAACAACCCATGGCCCGCGAGAACGGTGGGAAGTCCATCTTGGCCACGTCCCAAATCAATGGGCTTAGCTCAGGTCGTGCGAGGCTGCGAGCTAAGGGCGGAGATCCCAGCAGGGTGCAGCCCAGTACCGGGAGGACGTCCACAGGGCCCAGATGAACCAAACCCAGGGCGGAAATGGATGGGCCCAGCTGGGCAGAACTCTTGGGAAAGGGCGAAAAATCCAAGTGCTGAAGGCCAAACACGAGCAGTAACAGCTCCAGCTGTGCGAAGGAATGAGCTAACATCGGTAGTTCCAAATGGGAGGAATCCAAGATTGATAGTGAAAGATCAAAAACAACTCTTCCCAGTACCGAAGGACTCAAGTCCGATTGGCTGAAACTTTGGATGAAGATCAACACATCCAGGTGGCCCATGTCAAAAACCAGCAGCGCCAGATCCAGCCGAGCAAGTCCTTGCAGTGAAGCTATGGCATCCAATGCAGCATGGCCCAGGACCAACAGCAACACATCCATCCTGGCACTTCACAAAGCGAAAACGCGAAGAACGACAGCTCTGGGTGCGCCAAGGTCCTCAAGGGCAATGAGAAACCGGGGAAAATGGAGCTGAAAACCATCAGCAAAACACCTAAATGGCCAAGGCTTTGTGGAAGCAATGAGAAGTCCAGTGCTGCGGAACCCAAAATCGATATGGAGAAGTCAAGTTGGAGGGTGCGGCACAACAACAGGAGCAAGTCCAAACAACTGGAAGTTTTGATAGACAACATGAAGTTCAAGCTGGAGAGATCAAGCACCAACAGCTTTAGCTCCAGATAAGCCATAGCTCTCAAAAACACCAAAAAATCTAAAGTTGTTGCATCCCATGCCAAAAGCAACGAAGCTAAGCGCAAACCACCCAGCACTGCCAACAAGAGATCCGTGCACGCCAGGTTTTGTGGAAGCAACGACAAATCACAGTGGCTGAAGGACAACACGCTGAAGCTCGCGGCAAAACATGCGAATCCCCGCACCGAAACCAACAGATCCAAATGGGCAGCACCGAGGGCGGAGGGGGGGAGGCCGATCCAAACTGATCCCAACGGAAACATCGACAAGTCCAAGTGTGCCACGCTCCGTGAGAACAACGATGGATCAAAGGTCACCAGCTCCGAAACCGGAGAAAACGACTCCAGGCATATGGCATTGTGCAGCGACAGTGGGCTACCAAAAGTGACCATATCCAGTAGCAACGAGGATGGATCCAGGTGGCACTTTCCTAGGACAGATGTCAAGCTGCCCAGGTGCAGCATGCTACGGGGAAACAGGAAGAACCCTGAGCAACTGTGATCGAAGGCTGAAAGCACCAACTCCATTCGCAGTGCACCTCAAAAGGGGTTTGAAGCTGTGGCCGAAAGTGAAAAAACTGGGGCGGATTTGGATGGGAACTCAGTGAATCACTTCAACATAATATGTTGACATGGCCCCCATCAGCTCCCCACAATGGCCCTATGGCTTTGTGGCGCCGGGCACCTTTTAAAGATGTCGGGAAGTCGAAGGTTGCCACGTCCAACACCAAAATGGCCAGGTCGAAAGTCACCTTTCCGGTCAGAAACCTTGGGTGCCAAGGTCATTCTGCCCTTTCGGAAACTTTGAGCTGTTGATGCCAACGAAATCATCACCTTTTCCTGTTCTTTCACTCATCTCTACGGCTCCAGAAAATATGGCCGCCAAACATCATGATATGACCTGCAACTGTTACGATAGGTCATAAAAATGGAAGCAATGTTGCTGGTCCCCATGCATTTTAATGCCTTCTCATTTGACGCGACTAAACTATGAACTATGCTCAACCAGTTGGTCGGCGTCCCATTTTGGGAGGTCAAGAGTCTATGTCATTCATCTTTAATGATTAAGCTCATCAAAACCCAAGTAGATACCCACTGATATATGATTAGTACAATCCCAATAGGTACCAATTAGAATCCCTATTTTCCTTCCATGGTTTATCCATGATACATCCCATAAACCCCCTAGCTTTAGTGGTTAAACCACTCATCATTCATCCCAATCAATGGGCTGTTTTCCACTCATACTGTATATGTTTCGTAAAATCCCTAATGATAATCTTCTAATGATTCCAAATTGTTGATGCTCACTCTATGTTGATCATCATCATCGCCATCGTCATCGTCATCGTCATCGTCATCATCATCATCATCATCAACATCATCAACATCAACATCTATATCTATTATCCCATGGTATCTTCTCCATGTATTGGCTTTATCACAGTCCCATGAATATTGGGTGATATTCATATACATTAAATATATGATAATCACCATATTATCTATATCAACATTTATATCCTATATATATATAAATAATATCTATGTCTATTGTTTCATGATATATTCCCATTTATCTATATCTATATAAATTTATATCCTATATATCTATATCACCTATTATCTATATCTATTGGCGCCCAGCCACATCGTCAACTCCAGCCGCAGCAGCTGCCGCATCGGCAGCGAGGCGCCCAGTGTGGCAGGGCCAACGGCGGACGGGGACAGGTCCAGGCGACTGGAGCCATGGAGAAACGGCGGAAGATCCGAATGACCTGGGAAAACCAGGGGATTTTGCTGGAAAACCCATGGAAAACTATGGAAAACTTTGAAAAGCATGGAAACATGCGATTTTATGGGTACTCTGGGATGGATGAAATCCAGTGGATGGTTGAAACCCTATGAATGATTTGATAAATCACCTATCAACTGGTGCAGGATTTCTTCCATCCACAGTATCAGAATTCTTTTTGGTGATATCTCGATATATCCATTAAAAACCCTAATGTTTGTGGCAAAGCAATGAACATGGTGAAAGTCACATAAAAAGCTATGGTAAAATGTGAACCCTCAAGCACCATTCACCATCGTCTGAGTGGCCGAGATCGGGTGCCAGAATCGAAACACCCAGGCGCATCAGACCCGAGACAAAGATGGAGGAGGCTGGACACGATGAGCATCGCGAGGATGGAAAACCTCACAACGGACTGGTCAACGGACTGGTGTCATCAGTGCTGGGAAATGCCCAAAGTAAAAGGAGGTTTATCGCTGGGAAAGTCATCGAACTAAATGATGGATTTGCCAGGCCACGGATGACTACAGGGGGCCATTAAGCCATTCTTAGGGATAACGGGCATTGGTGAATCATGAAAGGGTACTTCGTATTATATTCTAAATTAGCATAACCAATTAGGATGGGGGAAATTCGTATATGGGTCAGAATTAGGAAACCGCCCACAAAACTAATCATGTTTACTGTGAAATAAACCATTTTGGAGGGCCAATCATTTGACCCATACCCATATACACAAAAAAACATGGGTTAAAAGCACCTGCCCGCAGTTTTCCGTCCCATGAATTCTGGTATGCGAGGGAGCGGCGATTATTAGCATGACATGAGAATAGTAGTGCAATTCCAAGCTCGGACTCCCAACACAGCCACTTGGGGGTGCAGTTGAGGTTATAAGTTGATACAAGACCGTAGTTATAGGGGATAGATACGAACTTATGGAGCTTATCACCATGGTCTTACCCAAACTGCACCCCCCAAATACCAGTTTTGGGCATCTGTAGCTTACTTCAATGAACATTCCAAAATGCCAACAGCGGGGATGGATGAAGAGCATGGCCTTTTGCGTTGGGAAACCACCACAGCTTCATAGCTGGTTTGGTTCGGCACCATGTTTTTTTAAACGAATTGCTGCTCCCGACTGGATTTTGAAAGGCCAGTCCTCTGCCAGCTTCAAAGCCCAGATGCTTCCCATATTTGCCACATTCAAGGTCAATAGCAAGGAGTCCTTACGCTGAGATGAACAAGTGGAGATGCGCCAAAAAGAGGGACTGGTTCATGGGTAACCATCAATAGTGGTTTCTTGAAATTGGTGACTCCAAACAATCCAAGGGGTCAGCCTCGAAGGTGCAATCTGCAGCTACTCAGTCACACATGGATTAGCGAACAGTCGATGTTGGTTTAAACTAATTCCCACAAAAGTATCAAAACTGGATAGCAAACTCATTGCTAATTACACCCTAGGGATCATATGGTCGTTACTCCATTTCCCAACAACTTGTTTATTTCGCTAGCTCTACTGTGGGACAACACTTTCACAGCTGTATAATCTACTGGCAAACCTGGCAATCGTATGCGATAGATGATGTCAGTTTTTCAACAGGCCCATCATCTAACTATGTCCCATAGGATCCATGTATTCTATATATGGTAACATGGATCCCATCAATATACCCCAGTCATGTTAGCATATATACCAGCACCATGGATCCTATGGGTGTGGATGTGCCCGAGAAAAGGGTGCCAACTGCCATTTTAAGCGGGATTTTTTCGGTTCTAAAGCAGTGGATGGATTTTTTTTTCCAAATTTCAGATCTAATTTGGTAAGCCCAATAGTACAGCATTCCGCCATATGACCATAAATTAATGGCAAACATCATCATTGGTAGGTTTATTATTGCTTTTACCACATCAAACATCTTCAAAACCATGCGAGATCGCCACACGCGTACCTCATTTGGCACCCCTAACCGCAGAGCATCAAAGCATGCAGAACTCCGTAGAAAAACGCTCGAGCCCAGGAATGCCGCATCCACCACCGAAGGCGAGAGCTCCAAGGACCTTGGCAGCTGCAAATAGGTGGTAATTGGGGATGTTCATCACCCCAAAACTATGAATTTTTGATAGGTAACTTGATGCTTATTATATATATATGTAACTTATATATATATATACTAATATATATAATATAATATATATATATAAATTTATTCACATATATATATATATGTATCATGGGCTTAGCGCAAACAAAATGGGATCATTTTAGTCCAATTTTTGGGGTGTCAGGAGCCGGTGCGCGACCCGTGGGTAATTTCCCATAAGCCATCGACATCCGTGGGGCAAACATGCCATTTACAAATTGATAACCAAATAGGTTACATGTATGCTAGTATATCTAAGACTGGCAATGATAACCAAAGAATGCTGTATTTTGTAATTATACCCTCTGGTTATGACTAACCTAGCCATGGTATAGATGGCCCATAGAAATAGATGGTTTACCTATTAATAGCATGGTAATTTTTTCCATGGCTATGTTAAAAAACCAGATGGTAAGTCATTTCGGTAAGTGATTGATAAATGGGTGACAAATGGATGATACATCAATGAATGATAATAAATTGGGATAAGCAATGGTAAGCTGAATTTGGGATTATAATGAAAAATTGGTTTATAATCCCATTAAAAACATGCCATCCCACTCCCTTTCAGCCACATACCGCTTTTGGTAAGTGATTGATACATGGATGAGTGACTTCTTAACCACATGCCAGAACTATTAAGCAACTCAACAACCATTAAACAACTCATTCATAAACAATTTTTTTCTTACCCAAGTCTTATTCATAGATAGCATTTTTTTCCCCATGCAGATTGTTTCACTTATTTTCATCTGTTGAGGTAAAGAGTTGCTTCCCAGTAAATTTCACTAATTGACTTACAATGTGGGGCCTCAGTCATGTTTGTTGGTTTAAAATCCCATCTAACAAGTTCGTTAACACTGCTACAATCATAAAACAAAACAGTTAACCTAGTTAATTCAACCAACTTAGCGACTCTGAACTGGGGCCCTAACAAGTTCCTTACTGCCATACACCCTTCGTTGGTTCACCCCCATCCGTTGATTTGTTGGAGATATTCCCATTGATATACCCTCTGGTAAACAAACATAGCTATTGAAATGCTACATTTATAGTTGATTTACCTATTAAAAACGGTTACTTTCCATAGTTATGTTAGTGTACCAGAGGGTAATAAATTTGGAGGAACCATCATAAATTTCTTGGATATATTCCTTGTTAGATATATTACCATTTATATTAATCAACACTATATTTCCAAAAAAATGTTGGTTTAATATACCCAGAAGAGATATAACTTCCCCACGGTTCACTTCTCATTTATCATCATTGATCCAAAAAGCATAGTGTTGCTTAGATATTCCCATCGTATTCCGTGATTTTCCCATATATCCTTGATGGTGAAACCACTCATCTTTCATCCAACTTATATATATAAATATTATCAATATACGTGTCAATTATGAACCATATCCTATAATATCAAATATAATCATTATCTATCATTGTTATCATTATATATATATACACATACATGTCATGTATCAACCATATCCCATCATATCCCAAAATCTTGTTGTTCTGTACCTATTACCATTATCCATTCTCCAATGGTTAGTTCCCGACGCCATTTCCTAGGCAGGGCGCATAGCACCGAAGGCGGACGAAGAAGTTCCCAGCTGCGCAACGCTGCGGGCTGGAGGCGAAAAACCGGAACTACCTGCAACGAGGCAAGTCATGGATACTTATGGTGGTTGTATACTAATCCCATCTATAGTTCCAAATGCTATAAACCATAACTGGTTGGTGGTTGAGCCTACCCCTCTGAAAAATGATGGAGTGAAAGTCAGTTGGGATGATGACATTCCCAACTGAATGGGCAAAATTAAAGTTCCAATCCACCAACCAGATAGTGACTTCTGGTTGTATACTTGTGAGAAAAATGCTTGTACAACGGGGAAAAACGATGGTATAGCTGATGTACCATGTTGAAAAACTATTGATATAATCTGGGAAAATTATAATATTTCACTAACCTGAATCTTGCGGCCATTTGGGGATCATTTCCCCAGATATAATGGGAAAAGAAGTTGATACCCTCCGATTTCATCAGCTAGCTGATGGGGGAATCCCCGCACTGGGAATTTCGTCATGGGAAAATCATCAAACCAAATGGGGGACTTTCCGTTGCCGACCTGTTGATTATCAGAAGGTACCCTCTGGTAAACATACAAAAAGCTATTGAAAATGGCCATTTTTAGTAGTGGATTTACTCATTAAAAATGGTGATTTTCCATACAAAAGTTAGTTTACCAGAGGGTACATGACCAACAAAACAGGGTTGCTCAGAACACTCCAGCTACGTTTGGGTGGTAAAATTGGTAGATAGAGAAGTAAAATGACAATCTTTTTCCCCTTCTGGCTATTATTCACCTATAGTGGCAACTTTACAAAATATGGGTATAAACGAGAATTAATATATAATAAGCAACAAAGCGAGGCTCTGACCAACAACATGTGGGATCCAATTTGATGTAATGTAACCAAAACTTCATGAAGATTGCACATCTTTTAAATATTTTACACGATATAGAGGGGGAAAGATTGCATTTAATCATGTACCCTCTGGTAATTTAACATAGCTATTGAATATTGGCCATTGATATAATTGATTTAACTATTATAAATGGTGATTTTCCAGTTCGCAAACTGTTGGTTTACCAGAGGGCAATCAACAAAATCAGAGGGGTATGACTAAGCATTGGAATGTTTATCTCGTCCCTTGGGCATTGCCATTACTTGCGGACCTGCTAGTCGGGATCCAGGCTCTGGAAATCATCGTGAAGTGAAGCTCGGGTGATAAATATTGCAAAAACCAACTTGGATCCACATATTCCATCGACTTCCCAACTTTTGCTCTTTTCTCAGCAACAATTGTTGCTGATGTCTGGCTATATTCTCCATTTAAGTCACTTCTAATCTCCCTCTGTTTGGTCTCCGAGAAAAACGTCGAGCTGTTTGAAGCCTCCAATTTTGGTGCAAAGATTCCAACTCCGAAAATATGAGTCAATTGGGAGCGTGATCCCACAACAAATTAGGAGAAACTTATCTGGTTGGTGGTTGACAAAAAACCCTCTGAAAAATATGAGTCAAATGGGAGTATTATTCCCAACTGAATGGAAAGTCATAATCCAGCCATGTTCCAAACCACCAATCAGTTATAAAGATATGAATGAAACCAGGTGATTTGACTGAGGTCTAAAACTGGTAGCCAACATCCGCTCTTTTAGAAAAACTTCAGTCCTGACCATAAGCGCCAGTCTAACGTTCTGTATCGACCACAATTTTTGGAGAATGCCACATTTTTGGTGCTGGATATCCCATCCAATGAAATACCGGTAAATCGGTACTACGACATAGCTTCCAATCATCCCCAATCAACCATCAACCATCTATCCCACTAAAACCCACCATCAAACTAACCATCATCTATCAACCAAAAAACACCATATCTCCATGGTCAGAACAAGTGAAAAAACCATGCAAAAAACCGAGAAATCCTGGTTCAATCCGCCACCGAGTCGCCAAGCTCCGATGCCAAGGGCGAAAGGCCCAAATGTGCGAAGCCGCGAACGAGCGAGGACAGGTCCATCTGGGAATGGAGACGAGAACAACGTCTTGGTTAGGGATTTTTAATCATATAATTATTAATGGAGGTTTCCTATATTTTTTTAATCAATATTAGTATGTTTTAATACGGAATGATGTTCTAATGTAATAACTGTGCTTAATATTGGTGAATGACATAATGGAGCCAATACTTGGGATTAATGTTAGAATAACATGGGATGTATGGAACGCAGAAATGCGAATTCCGCTTGATTTTAAGTGGATAGCAACCATACGAAATAAGCCAGCGATATGTGGGGTACAACCCAGATAACAGTTCTACTTGATACTTGGGTGTTTCAACGGGTACCGGGTACCATTTCCGATGCACCCCCGAGCAAATATCACAGGGATATATGATGGGTATATTTGATCAATCTATTGATCTAGTGTCATGGGCATATTTTGCATCCATACATCCATACATCTATACATATTCAACACGGGTATATTCATCATACATCCATACATCCATTTGTTACATCATTCATCAACAACTGCGAATTCAAGCGGCAAACATTGGGAATCAGCAACTGGAGATTCGACTGGCAATAGGTCGACCATCAGCTGTAGATACAATTTGTTCTAATTTCTATAGGGATGCATCAACATGCAGCATTATATTAGGGGGGTTTCCATAGTCATGGGGGTAACCCTTTATCGCTGGATGGTTTATTTCATGGAAAATCCTAATCGAACATGGATGATGATTTAGGGCATCCCCATGACTTCGGACAATCCCATCCTCACCGCCGAGCTGCATACATCGTATCAACCACTGGCAACTTGTACAGGGCTGCAGGGCAGCGGCACACGCCACAGGCTGAAATCGAGAGCTCTGGGCGACTGGAACTGCGGAGAGATGAAGAAACCTGCAGCTGGGGCCTTGAAAGATAGGGACCCAATCCATCCACAGGTGACCAAGGCTTCTTGAGAGCGAATCTCCACCAAATGCTTGTCTACCATCCGGATGACTGGACATGGAAAGACAGTGTAAAGCCGATTTCTGTGGCTATCTGTCTGTCAAAGCAACAAATGCTCCATAGCCACCATTGATAAGCTTCGATAATTAATCCCACCAACTTAATATTTTGAGATAATGGATAGTCTTGATACCCTCTGGTTATTTAACAAAGCTATGGAAAATAGTCCATTTGAAATTTGTAGATGACACACATTATGATTTACCCAAAAAAATGGTGATGTTCTAGTGCGCTACGTTAAATAAACAGAGGGTAGCTTCACCCACTGGGCTGTCCCCCAAGCAGCTTCGAGGCTGGAGAATCCAAAGACAGAAGAGGCTGTGTCCTCGACATCGCCAGGATTTCTACAGGTTTTTTTTTATGGGTTCTTCAGACCTAGACCGGTTTTATAGTTTTATAATGTTTCATACACTGGTTGGTGGTTCAAAAACCATCTTGAAAAATATGAGTTCGTCAATGGGAAGCATGACATTCCATATATTATGGAACACAAAATTCATGTTTGAAACCACCAACCAGACATTAATATTCCATTACCAGATGGTTAATCACCATTAAATCACCATTAATATCCCTATTAAATCACCATTTGAAACTACCAGCGAGTACATATCTGGGATCATTCACCATAGGGATGTTAAATCCGGGCGATCCTTCACTACGGGCATTTCATCCGGGCATCCAGAAAAACGCGACGAGGTATGGGTTTTTCAGACGCCCCCCATTCAGAAATGCTGATTTTGGTGTTTTCAAAATGGTAGAGATGATGATGTCTCCATATTTTTCAATTGGCCAACTTGGACTCAGACCTGTTTTGGCCGACTTTTTTGGTGAATTCCCCGGCAGCACAGCGGAACATCGTTGGTCGATGTACAGCTCTTTATGGGCGTCATTGCACATTATTAATCATTATATATTATCTTATATCCATAGTCATGGGAAAAGAACACATTCCAACTTGTAATCTCAATAAATCCCCAATCCCAATCACCAATGTGGGGCTTTCCATAGTCATGGGGATACCTATTAAAATGGATGATTTATAACGGACAATCATTATCTGGTTGGTGGTTGACCCACCCCTCTGAAAAATATGAGTTCGTCAGTTGGGATGATGACATTCCCAATATATGGAAAGCGTGTTCCAAACCACCAACCAGTTAATCATTATTATCTTATATCCAGGGTTGACATTGCGAACAACTTTTGGATCCGCTCACCAATATTGTTGCGTTTTAAATCCACTATCCATCGATTTCCAGTATATCACCATTCTGCTTGGTTTACAACCATTACATTCACTTATCACCATCATATCCCCATTATACCACTACTTCCATTAAATATCCACTATATCACCATACTTTTTGGTGAATTCCCAAGTTTTGCCGGTGTTCAAGACCATTAAAAGCCACTGTCATCCATGATATCACGATGGGGAAACTCCAACTGGCTCCTTCCAAACCACTAGATGGTAGACACCTTTTCACCATCATTTACCAGTATCCCATTACCATCCCAGTATTATCACCATAAATCCATATAAATCCACACTTTTTCTTGGCTTATCGTCCATACCCATGATTATCACCATAAATCCACCATTTTTGGGTGGGTTATTGATGGGTTCTCGTCCATATCCATGAAATCCCCATGAAATCAGCCCCAACGCACCATGAAATCAGCCCAGGTACCAACTGCCCAGGTCGTCGCAGCGACATCGACGACCCCAACTGGGCCAAGTCCACCAGCGACGGCGGGGCACCAAAGCGCGCCATGCCAACCATGGAGGCGGCGGGACCTCATGGATTTTCGGCGGATTTCTGGCATCCAAAGTGAGTGAACTCACCATTTTTCGAGGGAAGTTTTTGGGGCATTTTACCAGGAAACCCATGTGGATTTTGGTAGTTGATCTATGGTTGTAAATGGGTCGTAGATGGAGAAATAACTACTAAAAATTACGGATGGAACCATTGAGGATTGATAGTTAGTCTATACTAGGTTTCTGTTGATTGGATGGGAGTATAGACCAACTTCTAATTGACCGCTGAAATCCCTTGAACATCTAATCTTTCTTGGTTGAACATAGTTGAACATCCAATTTTTGCTGGCAAAAATACAACAGCTTTTTGGAGTGAAATCATCAAGTTCTTTGGTGGTTCAACCGCCCATGAATCCAACATAAATCCCCTAGAATTTCCGTAAATTCCACGTACATCCCGCATAAATCCCATAGAAATTCCCCTGAAATCAGATTCCCCAGACGTTCCTCACCTGATCTGCTAAGGCATCGCAAAGGGAAGGAGGATCCAATATACGCAGCGTGCACCAACGTGGCTGAGGCCAGGCATGTAAGGCTTTGGACCTCGAAGTCATGAGAAAGGGCTGAAACCATTGGATGGTTAAAAACATACAGCAATGATGGTTAATTTTTTTAATGGCAAGGTGTTTTTTTTAATGTTGCTTAAAAAACCATTATGTTTTGAACATGGTTGAAAACCATATGGTGAATATTGTTTAAAAAATAGCAATGGGAAACCAACATCAAAACCGCCAAAGAAATGGGAATCTCAAGATTTTCCATGGGATATGCTTTGATTCTCATTTGGGGCCATGTTGGGAGCTGTAAGTTCTTGCCGGGCCCCAGAATCCGGGGTTGGAACCTGAGAATTGACCATCAATTTGAATTGGACCCTCATACCCTCTGGTAATCTAACATAGCTATTGAAAATGGACCATTTATAGATGATTTACCCATTGAAAATGGTTATTTTCCATAGTTATGTTAGTTTACCAGAGGGTGAATGATTCATCTGAAAGGGGACCCTCATCTTCCCTCATCCATCCCAAATTGGGGACTCGGTGCGTTTTCAGATCCCCTGCTGCCGGGGAACGAGGAGAGGAGAGTCCAAATGTGCAAGGCCTGGAGCAAAGGTTGAAGAATCTGCTCCTGAAGCATGGCGAAGCTGTAAAAACACCTTGCGATAGGGGATTTATGCTGATTCCAAAGTGATTTTGCTGGACAATGCATCCATGTACATCCTTGCGGTGCGTGTTTCCAGTTGAACCCCCACAAGTTGATTTAAGATTCATCCATAATAAAGCCTCCATTTTGAGGGTATGCTTGATTTTCAGAACACGCCCAATTTGATACGGGTCAAACATGGGGTCCAAATGTACCCAGAAGAATTGTGAGACGCAACCATCCATGTTCAGACACCAAGAATTCATATAAACAAAATTGATATGGATCAAAACCCGCCCTGGTGAACACTCAAATAGCTGATTGATTGTCATCCCCCCATATGGAAAGCCGTTCAAGCCCAGCTTCGAAGCATGCCCAGCAAGGAGCACGAGGAGTCAATGTCTGCAGAGTGTTGTGGCGGAGAGGAAGGGCCTGGAAGGGCCGACTTCTGGGATCTAAGAACAAACAGGCAGGATTTCACTATGATTTTGATTGTTTTTTTAAAGTGATGGTTTAGAAAATGATGGGTGAATTAGGGTTTTCAATTGGTTTAACTATCGAAAATGGAATTTGAGATGATCTTGTTCAGAAACTGGGTGATGTAAAGAAAACACAGTGGGATTTGTGGGATTTTCACGCGTAAACATGGGGGTTTCAACAACCGCAAAGGAGATTCAGAAAAATGAAGAATTATTAGGTGGTCTGATAAGGCACAATGAGGATTTCCATCATGGTTAACAAAATGAGAGGGATAAATTGGCCCTGGTATTTCAGCCAGAATTATGCAACTCATCTTAAGTAGTTAGGGATGAAACTTCCTAATTCCCTGAGATGCCATGGTATGTTGGTCTCTAAGATTCAACTGTTCTATAAAACTTTTAGCAAAAGAACCTGGGCTGCAGCCCCCTCATATAGGGCATTAACCTAAACCTTTGGTTTCCTTTTTAGCTGGCTAATGGTTCACCTATACTTCATGCCTTCCCTTACCTTCATGTTAGTTAAACCAATATTTACACATGAAACTCACATCGTTTCATTTTGCTGATTAATCAAAGCCTAATCTGGTAAAGCCAATTTCATAAACCCTCCCAAAAGTCACCATGTTTATGGGTTCAATAAACCATCCATAAATGATAGGATTATGGCATTGGGTTGCCCACATCATTCGTTTTCACTGTCCCATCCTCATGTCACCCATTGCACCTGGCAAAACGAAGCTGTTCACCAGAAGTGTTGAAGCCAGGCGCGCAAAGGAGTGCAGAAACAGCAAAACACCTGGCAGCTACGACAAGTGAGGAATTTTTCACCAACGATTTGGGGGACAAAAATGGGGTACCCCAATAAATTATCACTTTTTTTTTTGAAAGTAATGGTTCACCATATGATTTAGGGGTACCCTATTTTCAGACAAAGCCATATACTCATTCAATCATAACATGAATGGATCTAGAGCAAAATAGTAAGGGTTAAACCCCTCTATCAACAAATTGTACAGATTGAAACAGCCAAAGATTTGGATTTAGCCAGAATATCGGGCTCAAAGCATCAGAATGTGTGGACTTTGTGACCTCTGGCAATCTGAATCACCAAAGTATGGAGATGAAACGGGCCGGGGGGCTTAAGGGACATCAGCAACTAGGGAACCAACACCAGGGCCATGGGGAGTTACACATGGATTTTCCCAATCATCTCTGGGCCCCTTTGATGGGTGATCGATTGCTGATTTTTCCTTCGTGAATTCCATGTTTTTTTTGCTGATTTCATTGCCTTTGGATTTTCGACATGTTGAATCCCAATTCCTGGCTGTTTCAACAAACTATGATCTTTATGTTGTGAAATCCACCATTTATCCATGGTCACATACGTCGCATCCTCATCTTTTTGTAT